AGTTAAATGCTGAATTAAATTCCATTATTTCAACGCGGACTTGTTGTCTACGATATAACGGTTCACTAGTTGAATGCGACACTTTATAATATTGTAACGGTTTTTAGCTCGACTTTTCTATGAAAAGGGGAGCTATCCTACTCGCCCCGGCGTCGGCGTCGGCGTCGGCGTCGGCGTTGGCGTCACACCTTGGTTAAGTTTTTCGTACCACCCCACTTTATTTCAGAAGTATTACAAGTATGGCTTTGAAACTTACCATACTTGTTCACCATCATAACCTCCATCTACAGACAAGAGTACATAACTCTGTCAAGGTTTTTGACAGAATTATGGCCCTTTTTTGACTTAGAAAGTGTATTGAGCTTGGTTAAGTTTTTTGTACCACCTCACTTTATTTCAAAACCATTGGAGGTATTGCTTTGAAACTGACCATACTTGTTTACCATCACGACCTTCATCAACAGACAAGAGGACATAACTCTGTCAAGGTTTTTGACAGAATTATGCCCCTTTTTGACTTAGAAAATACATTGAATATGGGTAAAATCCACTTATTGCCTTAACCCTTTGAGATATTGCTTTGAAACTTTTAATGCTATTTCACATCATTACCCCCATCTGTACGCAAGAGAAGGTAACTCTGTCAAGGATTTGTTTTAAAAATTAAGGCCTTTTATCGACTTAGAATCTTGGTTAAGTTTTTAGTACCAGTCCACTTTTTGACTGAACTGTTTGAGATATTAATTTGAAAGTTGGAATACTTGTTTACAATCATGATTCCCAAACATGTCCAGGAGAAAGTAATTCTGTCAAAGATTTTATTTGAATTATGGCCCTTAACTGTCAATGTTTTGTATTATAGGCAAGCACTAAAAAACTTAAAAAATCTAAAAAAATTCATTCCTATCCACTTGTTCACTTTACCATAAATTATGTCATAATAAAATAATTCTTCACTAAATATCTTAATGCTCATGGCCATTGTTCACTTTAAAAATACAGAGATTCTTGTATTGCCTTTTACTGCAAAAACTTTTTTTATTGGCAAGCAATAAAAAAGTCGAGCGCGCTGTCTTACGGACAGCTCTTGTTTAACTTTATTGTTGGATTTATAAATCATAAACTAATCTTTAAGTTAAATTACCTATTATAGACCATATGGGCAGATATAAAACATTATTATATTCATTACAATTCTAAACTTAAATGTGAAACATAATACTTATACACCTGTGGTGGCTCGTCTTTCATTCATTATAATTATCATTGGCTGGTTTACACAAAACTCATCACAATGTCAATCATTATCGCTTGAAATAATATGCTATCTTTGTGTCGGTACTTATAAACCTAATACCATTGATACTTAATTTGTAAACAGGTAAATGCCTTAACCAAAATATATTCATATTTCAGGTCATGTATCAATGTTGATTATCTACCCGACGTTGCTAAGGGTATAAACCACAGTGCTGAGTATGAAAAAACTAAATCATCACTCGAGAATGTTCTCATCGAATTAAGAGGTGTGATAGAAGCTAAAACAGATAATCTCAAAATACTTCAGAATGATAAGGAGCAGTTATTTGAAGAGATAGAAAATTTGAAAGCGGAAATTCTAATGAAGGTTGAAGAGCTTGTAGAAACCTCAAAACAACAAGTATCATTGAAGTATCGAGAAGTAAAGAAACATATCCAGTTAGATCTAGACACTTTAAACACTATTTTAACAACGACAACAACAGATCTCCAGAAACTGTCAGAAAAAAATGAATCCCAGTTGTTTGTAAATCTCAAAGCAAGTAAAGTTTCTATCAGGGATTGTGAAACTTTTTTGAGTGAATTATCAACAGGTAACGTAAATGAGAAGTTGGAATTGGTAGCGAATAACAGTTTGAAAGATCAACTAAATGACATTGACAGTTTGGTTATTGACACTGATGTAAAGGAATACAAAGCAACACTTTATGGAAAATACAAGATCGATCCGGAACATTGTGAGGTAACTGGTATATGTGCTATGGATGATGGTTCATTTGTCATTGCCGATATCACACATTTAAAACTGAAGCGACTGAATGAAAAATTTTCGGTAACAGAATTTGTTGAAGTAGATGGAAATCCATACTCATTATGCAGAGTAGGACACAACGAGGTTGCAACGTACATACTTGGAGGAGGTATACAGCTTATTTCTGTCGGAAACTCTATGCAGTTGGCATCGACAATAAATATCAGCGAGTGTAATAATCCTGTTGGTGTTTGTTATGATACAACGCTCGACGCTTTCATGTTATGTGACGTAGGGAAAATATCAGTATATAGCAAGTCTGGTAACTTAATAAAAACACTTGAGAAGAATAAAAATGATGATAAGCTATTTACAGAAACAAGACAAGTAGCAATGAACACAAATACTCAGATCATGGTTGTTTCAAATGGCACCGGAGATAATGTGAAGGCATTGACAAGAGATGGTGAAATAGTTTGGACATTTAGTGATCCATCATTAGAGAGACCATGGGGAATCTGTATCCTGCCAGGAGACATAATCTTAGCCGGTGGGGTAGGCTCAAACAATGTACTGCAGGTTAACAAGAAAGGTGAAAAGATCAGTGAACTGTTGGGAGCTTCTGAACAACTAAATCAACCGTTTGCATTGGCTTTTGACAAGACGAGTTCGCGGCTGTTAGTAGGGTGCAGTTCAAACGAATTATGCGTTTACACGTTAACAACTAAGACATAAATTATACTTGGGGGATAATCAGAAACACAATTAACTCGGTGTGACACTCTCAAACTTGGTTATCAATATAGTTCTGTGACGAAATAAATGCTCTTTATTTCATTATATCTATTCAAATATCTGGCATGGATTGCTATCTCTTGCCTCTGATATTGTTTATTGTTGAATTGGTAATTGATTATTTTCAAACTGATAACTATGTTTGATAAAACATGTGAAGTATCGTAATTAGAACTTAGTGTCATATTTTTATTTATTCTCTACTTAAATTTAAGACATTGGAGTTATACAATCCAAAAAAGGATGCACAACACACAACGCTAATTTCCGATATAAATGTGATTTTTTGTTAAAAAGATGTATCTGATAATACAAACTATTAATATATCCATTTATATTATTAATATATTAATTAATAAATAACAAATAATGAAATTGTATGCGTATATAAATAACGGTCTTTAATATATATTAAAAAAAATCTACCCCATTCTAAAATCAGAACATTGGATGCAAATTAATATACATTTATATAATTTGAAACAAGGTTTGTTTGACGTGATAACTGATATAATGTTCTGTCAAATGATTGCCTCTTTATCAAGGTTAACTGTGTATAATTTTGCTTTATCACTACAATGTACGTGGTAAAGAATATTTTAAAAAGTTAGTCACACTATTTTTAATGATTGTATAGTCTTTGTTAATAAATATAAAACTTTGACCATTACATGTAATCAAAGAACACCTGGAAGTATTGCTTGCTGCAAAATTGATTCCTAACCATTTTTATCATGTAACACTAACATGCGTTTTTTGCAAAACTGAAGAAGACAATTAAGTTCAAACATAGTTCACAATATAAATATTTTAAATATTACTGGAGTTATCTCAAGTTCTCAACATTATAAAACAGTTCCAGAATAGTAATTGTTTGTTCTATTTGTACAGTTTATAAAAATCAGGCTATTGTCACAAAGACAGTCAAATTATTGTAAAAAGGTTAATTATATTCCAAGCAAAGTATTATGATAAAATGTGTTGACGACGTTACATATTTTGCTTGTGGATTTTATTATGCAATTGTAAATAATGAGAGTGCTTATTTGTATACACATGTATAACTGTTCGATCTTACAGTTCTACAGAAATAAGCTTCATATGAAATTCATATTGTATACATGTATAACTATAGTGTTAAATTTCATGAAATGAACAAAGCAAAATGGGTTCATAAAACGGCGTATGGATCATAGAAAATACTACGTTACATAACAACAGCAGAACAAACCAGCTAGCATCTCATCCATTATAAGTTTGACAGCTACGTACTCGTCCAATAAAATTCAATAATGTACTCATCAATGTTATTTCACATCATCAATGTCCATCATTTTGACATAACTTTGTTATTCTGAGTACAATATTGATTTGATATGGATATTAACCAAATAATCATAAGTTTAACTAATACTTTTACATGAGAGTAATAAGTTAAACTTATGATAATTTTGATGTAACAGTTAATAATTTTATCAGTTCCCAATACTTATTTCAGTTCTTGATAACGTTCGCATTGGCGTATTTTACACTTCAAAGTCAACTAAAAACGCACAAGGTTACTAATTTGTTGCGTTCATTTACGCACGATGTAAAGAAATTAAGAAAAGAATGAAAATTCGAAGCGTATTTAGTGTGTACTTTAATTTTCTAAACAGCTGATTCCGCTTCCGTTTAACAGTTGACTGTATATCTATATTTTCCAATTAATATCCAATTTAAGTACAAGTACTAAACTTTTTTAGAAAAGTTAAAAGATTCAAGATAAAAGTAAAAAAAAGTCCATGTTATGTGTGATAAATGACCAATTTTGCAATATTTTCACCTTACTTCTACTGCGTTATGGCTATTTTTGCATATTTACAACACTTATTTGTAATTTACATGGGTTGTAAGTAATGTTTGCAATGTGAAAATTATTTTCTAATACATTTTCAAAATTTTCATGAAAATTAGCATGAATCTGGATGTGTACTGCTTTAATGTAACAAATGTACTTTCTGTTTTGTTATTTGTTTATTTATTACACTGTGTACTAAAATATTTTATGTTGGCCGCCATTCCGAAAAATCATAAACAGAACTATGATTTTATTTTGATCGAGTAATACTTGTTACATGTTAGATATATCTATAAAGATAGTTTTATCAAAAATAATTTAAAGTAAGTGCTGTCATTGATGATTCTGTTCAATATCTTTTTGCAAAAGTAACATACATACTTTGATACATATATTTGTAAATACTTTGATTTATTCACAAAATTAAGGATCTTAAACATCAGTGACTTTATTCATCATACTAAGTAAACATGACAATAACTTTCTTAACCATTGTAATTACTTTACACAAAGGGTCTGATCTAAATAAATTTAGTAGAAGTCTACTATGCAATGTTACATGTCACATCCGAAATATCTAAGGTCTTAACATTGTAGTTATCCACAATATCTAAATATATTTTCCTATATGAATAACTAACCTCCGGGGACCAACTTTAACCCTTGGATCATGATTTTAATAATTTTTGTACACAATAAGATGATACTACAAGCCCAATAGCTATGCTCTCGGCACTGTGGTTTCGGGAGAGATGTTATGACAATTTTACTTTATACACCGGTATGTTAGTGACCCACATTATTTGAACCTAAACCATTATTCATGTAATTTTCGATGTACTATGTATACCAAAAATCTATGCTCTGGTCATTTGAGTTTTCCATAAAAGATTTAACTTAAATGTGTTACGCTAGTGTATAAACTGTTGTACAGGTCATGTTGCACACCATATGTATGTCCTAGACATTAATATTTCCCAAAGATTTTACAGATATGTTTTCTATAAAAGTCTAAGTAATCCAAGTGACCCTCAGGGCCGGTCATCTTTGGCCTAAGGGGCATAAATTAGCGTTTGTATAAGTAAACTAGACAATGGTATTTGTCAAATAATTAAGCTTTTTTGGAATATACTTAAATTAAGTCTACATAAACCAAGAGCAAGGGCATGATTTATATAACTTTTGAAGAGGACTATAAGGTGATGTTGTTTAAAGAACTTGTAAACAGCGCCCGACTACTGTCATCACAAAGCTCACTTCTGGAGCACATGTAAGCTTAAATGCTTCCTACTGTTCTACACAATTCGGGTCACATCAAAATTATACTGATGTTGATAGCTAGATTTATCTGTTTGATAATACTTTGGTCGAAAAATTACACAATTCATTACGACAATGGAATATTCAAATGCAAGTTTGGCAGGCAATGAAGGAAATCACTTCACCAAATCACAAGTCAAAGAATTATCTGTAACCTTTTAAATAAGGACATTACAGATGTAAAATTTCTTGCAGACAACGGGCACGATATCGAGTCCGCTTGTTGTAATTCAAACCTGAACCTATAAGCTTCAGATCAAGGAGAAAGTTGTATATGTATTACATGAATATAGAAGTTTATCAATGTATGTTTCCGTAAATTAAGAAATGTTAACTGCTAACCCTTTTACCACGCTGCCTTAAAAGCTTCCTGCAAACACAAAATTGTCGTTACCATAAAATACCAATTAAAATGTATATATATGTGCTGATGTTTTTATTTAAATTGTCATTTGAAAACATAAAATGAGAAAATTTATTTATTTATTTAATAAATGAAGAAGACAAAAAAAACAGATAATAAAATCACCTGTAAATTAATTGTTCCGATGTATCTTACCATTGCAAGTTTAACAACTCATTTTAATTAATATTCTTTATAACATATTTTAATTATATTTAAACAAAAATATTATATCAAAGAAATTTACTGCAGAAAAATAATAATTTTATTCTTTAATTAGTTCTCAATTTTATTAAAATGTACGAACATTTGACGTACATTAAAGTATGCTTATACCACAATGTTTACACTGTCGATTTGAAATAAGCTTACGTCATAATATTTCTTGACTGTGTCATGAAAAGTTAAACATAATTATTGATTTTTGAAAATTGGAAAAGAACATTTTAGTAACAGACGGTTTTATTTGATAAATTAGATTAAGATTAAGTTTCAGTTTATATGAACAGATTTTAAGATCTGTCATACTCATTGTATCAAAATCAGAACATATAATTGAATAGTGTAGTTAGTTTCTTAATTGTTTCTGTAAGAGACTTTGTAACGAACTCATGTTCGTTACCTGGAATGATTGTTTCGTGATTGTTCAGTTGTCCTTAATAACACATTTATGAATATGAACGTTAATTTTATCAATGTTATTTGCTTTTTTCAGATTAAATTAAAATATTCGAAATCACCCTTAATCCTTTTTTTAAATTACAGAAATAGAAGGTGCAAAAAGTGACTGTGATGCATCATTCAAATATATGTTGAACTAATACATGTATGTACCGGTGTCTACAGGATTGTACTAAAAGCTATGATTTATGCTCTAAAAGAAAAAGATTAGATTATAATGGATCATGTGATTGAAAATAAGTGTAAAGCGAAAGTTGGCGACTGTGTCGTATGTGTTTATTAGTTAATATTTCCAGGGCGTATTAAGTTTGTGTTTTCTGATGTTTAAAAATAAGATTAATAGGTTTAAATACCCTGTGAAGTTTTCTATCAGCAATTGTTGTATTGCATCACAAGAGCTGTCAGTAGAACAGCAGGCTCGACTATTCTCTGGACTTGTTGGTAAAAATGTAATAATTAACAAAGAGGAATATTTTGTTGACAACAAATGACATATATATCAGTCTTTGGCATTGACAAAATTTTTTTTGTCTTAAAAAGCATATTACATTCAAAATCCATGTCAGAAATAATGTGTCTTGGAAAGTGACCCTAAATTGTTATTGTGAAATATGATTTAAGTTTTAAGTAAATACCATCAATAGGTTTTTGAACGATTAACTTCGCGCCATATTTGAGTTGTTGGCCTCCAATAATGGTTACGAAGACATGTATTAAGTTTTAAGTGAACACCTTCATTACTTTCGAAGACTGATGTTGCATGCAAAACCAAGAATGTTCTAGGTATACAAAAAAGGGCATTACTCATTCAAAATCTGTGACAGAATTATGAGCTTGCGATAATGACCTCCAATTATGATTAGCAAATAATCTATAAATAATAATAATCTAAATAAGTGAATGATGAGATGTATTATATGATTATATAATCTTTAAATTGCATTCCTGATTGACTTAGAAGTAACCTTTTGTAAAAAAATAACAGGTCAATATCATCAGAGTTTGTACACTTCAACGTTGACGCCGACAACAGCTTGAGTAAGATAGCCTCTAGCTTCGAAATGGTCGAGCTTTAAAATATGTCTGTCTAGTAGGCTTATCAAATAAATGCATTTTGTCAGTTTTTGCAAATCTTTGACAAGAAGGATTTTTTCCCGACAAAAATCCAGTGTCAGTATTGCGTTCTAGTGGCTGGAACATCAAATTCTTTTCTTTACATAAAATCTGATAATTATTGGTTGTATGAAAGGGAATACTAAAAAAATTTGTTCGGACTTTAATCTTCAGTGGGAATCTGAATGTTTTCAGCTACTTGGTCTTACTTTTACAATTAATGTAAATAACTTGACTCAAGCTAATTATTTATCTAAACAGGAGGAAATTAAGTTATTTAGTCATTGGTCAAGACGTATTATTACCCCTATTGGTAAGAAAGTTGTAATCAAGTCTTGCCAAATCCTGATATAGGAACAATTATACAACTATACAAAACTCCTTCTTTAAATTCTTATGGAAGCCAGGACCAGATAAAATTAAAAGAAATGTTGTTATTCAGAATTATGAAAATGGGGGTTTCAGAGTGATAAACTTAGAGACTTTCATAATGTCTCTTAAATTGACATGGATAAGAAGAATTTTAATGTATAATACCAAAAACTTCAATTCTGTAAATAACATGTACCCTTTTCTATCAAATATTAGTAAATATGGAGACCAATTTTTGATAAATAAACTTCAGACAGTGCAAAATAAATTTTGGAAGGATGTTTTACTGGGCCCATACAGTTACATAAGAAGTACCCCCAGGAATTGGAGTGAATTTTGCTCACTTAAGTTTGATATAAATACCATTTTTTTAGAGTATCAAAACATTATAGAGTCTATTAGAAGATTTTTAAATCAGCTAAATTTTAGACACCTACCTCAGAAAGAGGAAATGCCTATTTAGCCTTTAATGACCAAGATAATCAATAGTCAAAAGAAGGGATGCAGACAAATCTATGATTATATTCTTAGAGCAAATATGTCATCTATTGCTAAAAGAAAATGGGAAGATGAACTCAATTTCAATGATGATTTTAATCGGAATGGCATTTATAGGTTCCCTTTTAATATTACAAAGGATTCAAATTTACAATGGTTTCAGTATAAAGTTAATCACAGGATACTGGCAACAAATTATCTTTTACAAAAAATGAGAATACAAGAAAAGCTTTGATGCAAAGCATCAAAGGGCGTCCATGCAAAAAATGCAGCAAGTGAAGACATCTGATGACCAGATATTCTTTTAAACTTTTCAATGGTTAATTGGTTTTTACCAGAATTGTATAATATTGATAAATGGGCGGACGAAAGACATTGTTCATCATGAACTTTGGTAGGCATGCTAGAGATTAGAATTTTTTTCCACAGGAACTTGAAATTCTATCAATATTAACGATACTATCCAAAATATACAATCTATAATATCCAAAATGCAATTAGTTGTTTGAATATGTTTCATTATTCATATTTCATTTCCTGAAAAATTCTCCATTTCGTTATTTATAACCATAGCGCTACACGAATGACCGTTTCTTTAAACTAAAACTACTTCTATAAATAGATTTTCGGACTTTTACAATGTTAAGGTCATCATTCTATTTATAGGTACAGCAATACATGATAACCCACTGTGTGAACGAACTACAAAATGATCAATAAAAAACCCGAAGAGCGCGATTAATTGACGGATAAGATAATACCATTTGAATATGTTTACATTGCGAAATTCTCCAGTTCGCTATTAATTGTTCGCGACCTTTCATTTTTGATATAGCAATCGGAATGATCGGCTATTATGACCGACGAAAAGGCCCGAGAAGTTGCTGCCGCCCTTTCTCATTCCATAAGGGCGTCGCGCTTTAGCGCGGGCGCCAAAAAGATGTTAATACATGTTCTTTTTGCAACAACCATATTGAAACTATAAAACATTTATTTTGGGATTGCCAATTAAGTTCTTCTTTTTGGGAAGATATAAAATCATGGATAAATTCAAAATGTACAGATGTTAACACACAGTGGACCTTAAACGGACTCCACTGAGGTTTTTTGACATGATGGGACTGAAATTATTTTTTCCAGATAAATGTACCATTTGATGTAGGTTAAGACCACAAATCTTTATGCAAAATTTCAGATCATTCACGCACTTCTTTATTCAAGAATAATTATTTAAATTGTTATCAAAATGACCCAAAATGAAAAGCGTTTAATTACTTTTCACACAAAATGGGCTAAGAAAAGCATAAAAATTAACTATCTTGGCAAAAATTTCTGTATAGAGTCCCGCAGCTCAATTATGTAAGAAATTAAAATGTTATGTTTTTATGCTTTTAAACCTCAGTGGAGCCCCTTTAACAGATATTATTCTAGGCAATGAACACTTAGATAATGCAACATTGAATTTAATTCTGTTGAGAAAGTATACTCTTTATCGATGCAAATTATAGAACACAGAGTCAAGCGTTCAACTTTATAAAAACTGTGTGCTATTCTTTTGAGAACAAAATTATATAGTGCAAAAAATAGGGTTTCAAAGCTTGACAATTTATGGGGCAAATATATTTCTTTGCTCCTTAATTGAGACTAATGTATTTAGGCTTGATCCACTCTGTATATTGCACCTACTGCCTTTTTTGTATCTTTCTTTTTTAAACTCAATGAATGACCTTTGGTCTTTTTTAATCTTTCTAATGATATTAATGCATAAAGTATTCATGTCAATGGGTACAACTCTTAATTTGATATCAATTTTAAAATAGTTGTTTTCCTTGAATTAAAGGTAAGTTCAATGTAAAATTGAATTTCTCCTTTATGCTAAATTAGTTCTATAATATTGAAAAAGTATTAAATATGTTCTGCAAATAAATCTTTTAAAACAAGGCTGGTATTAAAATGTCTGTCAACTTTGGTAAGATACTATTGAATTATTGCCTTTATTATATTTATAAACTTTGTAGATTCTAAAAAGAAATCTCTTATTCCTCCTAATAGGTATATCTTATATATTGTATGTATACGCATAAATGTTTTGTATTGTGTAAAAAATCTGAAGAAAAAATCTGATAATTATCCCCTCTATATTAATGAAATGAATGTACGAGTATATATATCTTAAGTTGTTTTTACTTTTATGGATTCATATATTATCCATTACAAAGTAAAAGAATAGACTATACACATAATATTATGGTTTATGAACAAATACAATGTAAAATGACTGCCTAATTCGTCCGTAAGTTAGATATAAATGTATAGGAGTCGATATCTTTCTTAAAGAGATCAAGGCATCTTTAAAAAGGATATAGAACAATTTACTTTATACATGTATATACTGGTGCCTCATATTTCCGTGGTACCCATATTTCCAAGATATTAGGCATAAACAGTCTCACGTGCCTCATAGACTTCATGCACCTGTCATGAGTTTAACTTTCATTTCTTAATGTATTTTTTTATTGAATGTAACAAACACAACTGAGAAAACTTATTATCTTATTCAGATTAAGAGATAAGTCAATTATTTCAACATTCTACTTTTCGTTTTTATACTTTTTAGACAACCGTCTTTGTTCAACAACCATTTAGATATTTGATAAATGCCATAGAGAAAATATCCACATTCAGACAGGGCTATGAATATATGAACTAAGAAATAAACATAACTATTGGTTTTGCTTTTAAATCTGTTAAAATGTAATTGCTTTGGAAATATGAGAACACAACTTAACTCACTAGACAGCAGATAGGTGCTTATTGTCGTGTTGTTTAAATAATTGCTTACATGCAAACATTAAATGGAATAACCTATGATGTAATTGACATGTCTTTGCTACAATATTCAACGTACTTTGCCGAATTTTATTCTTGTAACTTTTGTTGTCTTTGTTAACCATTTAAGTACCACGGAAATATGAGGCACCAGTATATATATATAGTGTTGTTTAATGTGAGTTAATACAAACAGCCTGAAATTCGAATATGTGTATGATAAAACGTTAAACCAAACTTTAGCTTATATAGTATACATGGTATAATACACTTATCACATCACGAAATATCTTACCCCGTTATGTATTGTATTTTATAAAGGGTATTCCAAGATAAGTATAGATTTAGTGGTGTACACCCTTCAAACACATCGGAACAAGTATAGTTTATATTGACCTCAAATAATTTACATTGACAAAAAACGGTATAACCTTACATGTTTACAGTATATATATGAAAGATTGGCAACTTTCGATAGTAATTAGCTATAGTTATTCGTTATCGTAAAAACATCAAGATAGATCTACTGTAACCAGGAAGTTAAACTTTGGAAGGTCAAATTATAGTTACACTGTATGGATTAACGTGTTAACTCTTCCACAAAATGGCGACAGACAAGGACATTAAGTCGTCTGTTGTTGCTAGTTCAGAGGAGATTTTAGATATCAATTGCGTACCGTGTTCGGAATCTGGAAAACTACTGGAAGCAGTTAAGTTTTGTGTGGAGTGTGGGTCGTATTTCTGTTCTAAATGTCTCGAGTATCACAACAAATTTCCATCACTAAGATCACACCAGATATTAGACAAATCAGATAAAATTAGATTAGATTAAAACAGGACACGGACTACCAACAGAAAGGTGTGCAGTTCATCATGGCAAGTTAGTGGACATGTTTTGTAAAGATCATGACGAAGTTTGCTGTGCAGCATGTATAGCTATAAAACACAGGTAAATGAATTGTTCATACAACTCGTTTATTACTGCACTTAAAATCAATAAGTTAAATGCTGAATTAAATTCCATTATTTCAACGCGGACTTGTTGTCTACGATATAACGGTTCACTAGTTGAATGCGACACTTTATAATATTGTAACGGTTTTTTAACTTTATTGTTGGATTTATAAATCATAAACTAATCTTTAAGTTAAATTACCTATTATAGACCATATGGGCAGATATAAAACATTATTATATTCATTACAATTCTAAACTTAAATGTGAAACATAATACTTATACACCTGTGGTGGCTCGTCTTTCATTCATTATAATTATCATTGGCTGGTTTACACAAAACTCATCACAATGTCAATCATTATCGCTTGAAATAATATGCTATCTTTGTGTCGGTACTTATAAACCTAATACCATTGATACTTAATTTGTAAACAGGTAAATGCCTTAACCAAAATATATTCATATTTCAGGTCATGTATCAATGTTGATTATCTACCCGACGTTGCTAAGGGTATAAACCACAGTGATGAGTATGAAAAAACTAAATCATCACTCGAGAATGTTCTCATCGAATTAAGAGGTGTGATAGAAGCTAAAACAGATAATCTCAAAATACTTCAGAATGATAAGGAGCAGTTATTTGAAGAGATAGAAAATTTGAAAGCGGAAATTCTAATGAAGGTTGAAGAGCTTGTAGAAACCTCAAAACAACAAGTATCATTGAAGTATCGAGAAGTAAAGAAACATATCCAGTCAGATCTAGACACTTTAAACACTATTTTAACAACGACAACAACAGATCTCCAGAAACTGTCAGAAAAAAATGAATCCCAGTTGTTTGTAAATCTCAAAGCAAGTAAAGTTTCTATCAGGGTTTGTGAAAAAAAAATGAGTGAATTATTAACAGGTAAAGTAAATGAAAAGTTGGGATTGGTGGAGAATAACAGTCTGAAAGAGAAACTAAATGACATTGAGAGTCTGGTCTCTGATGTTGTCATTAGTGTTAAGGAATACAAAGCAACACTTTCTGGAAAATACAAGATCGATCCGGAACATTGTCAGGTAACTGGTATATGTGCTATGGATGATGGTTCATTTGTCATTGCCGATTACACACATTCAAAACTAAAGCGACTAAACAACAAATTTACAATAACAAATTTTGTTACAGTTGGTGGAAGTCCATACTCAGTATGCAGAGTAGGACAAAACGAGGTTGCAACGTACATACGTGTTAAGGGTCAGATACAGCTTGTTTCGCTTGGAAAAGCTATGCAGTTGACATCGACAATAAATGTCTGCAACTTGCAGCATTTTCCTGTTGGTGTTTGTTATGATACACCGCTTGATGCTATCATGTTATGTGACACTGATAAAATATCAGTATATAGCAAGTCCGGTAACTTAATAAAAACACTTGAGAAGAATAAAAATGGTGACCAGCTATTTACAGAAGCAAGACAAGTAGCAATGAACACAAATAATCAGCTCATGGTTGTTTCAAATGGCAACGGAAATAATGTGAAGGCATTGACAAGAGATGGTGAAATAGTTTGGACATTTAGTGATCCAGCATTGCAGAGACCATGGGGAGTCTGTATCCTGCCAGGAGACATAATCTTAGTCAGTGGACTTACCTCAAACAATGTACTGCAGGTTAACAAGAAAGGTGAAAAGATCAGTGAACTGTTGGGAGCTTCTGAACAACTTAAGGATCCATTTGCATTGGCTTTTGACAAAAAGAGTTCTCGGCTGTTAGTAGGGTGCAGTTCAAACGAATTACGTGTCTACATGTTGTCTAAGACATAAATTATACGATAACCTGAAACACCATTGACTGGGCGTGACACTATCTAACTAGGTTATCAAGATGTATAAGATGTTTATTCATTCATAGTGTTTTTTGTTTTCGTTTCGTAAAAACACTAAATTTAAAATAGAATTCTAGACCATAAATTAAACAGAATTTTTGTGACAAATGACATGTGTGTATTTTTGTATTTATTAATGTAAATATGTACATTTTGTATGTGCTTAACCTATGTTTAAACCATGACCTATATTTACTATGTTTAAATTATTGTATAACGTGTAATGAATGTGACTGTATATACACTATATTTTTTTCTATTATGTCTTAAATCTATGAAAATGGACAATAAAGTGTAAGAATACTTTTTGTCTGTGGTATTGTTAATTGTTAAATATCTCTGTTTGAATAGAACTTAGTGTCATATTTTTATCTATTCTCTGCTGAAATTTAAGACATTGAAGTTCGAAAAAATGGATGGACACAACACACTTCGTTTATTTCCGATATAAATGTGATTTTTGTTTAAAACATTTATCTGATCATACAAAATATTGATATATCAATTAATACATTAAATAATCAATAACAAATATTGAAATATTATACGTATTTATATAACGGTATTTAATATATTGCATGGAAAAATATCTACACTGTCCTAAAATCAGAACATGGGACGCAAATTAATATACATGTATATAATTTAAAACAAGGTTCGTTTGACGTGATGACTTATATGGTATTCAGCCAAAATGATCGCATTTTGTTTATAATTTTACTTTAAGATATTCTGTGCTCATCCTTGAGTAATATATTTTTAACACAGAAAATTGTGAAAATCTATGAAATACTTACAGAATATGTCTTATTTGAATAAAAGCATATATAAACTATGTATGGGAAGTTGCCTTCCCTATTCCATGTCAATTAAAGTTGGTAATTTTCTTAAAAAAACTGCCATTTTTTATGACACTATATATTCATATTGTGATCACCTATAGTATGCAGAGATTGAAACATAACATATCTACTTTGTGTGAAGTCAAAACATGTTTATTTTACATGTAAAAAGATACTGTGAAGCAATTATCAATATGTTATAATATCAAATTTTAGCTTAGTATATCTTTAATCATTACAACTTATGTGATAATGAATATTTTAAAAAGTTAGTCACACTATTTTTAATGATTGTATAGTCTTTGATTATCAATATAAAACTTTTGATCATTACATGTAAACAAAGAACATCAAATTATAGCTGCAAATTTGAAAATTGATTCCTAACCATTTCTTTCATGTGACACTAACATGCGTTTTTCGCACAACTGAAGATGACAATACAGTCAAAGCACAGTTCACAATATAAATATTTTAAATATTACTGGAGTTATCTCAAGTTCTCAACATTATAAAACAGGTCCGGAAAAGTAATTGTTTTTTCTTTTTGTACAGCTTATAATAATCATGCTGTTATCACAAAGACAGTCAACTACAAATAATTGTAAAAAGGTTATTATTATTGTTGTTATTTTGCTTAATTTTCTGTTTTGTTTTTCGTTTGTTTCTTTTATTTATTACATTGTGTACTAAAAATGTTTGATGTTGGCGACAAATCCGAAAAAATCATAAACAGAATTATGACTTGATTTTGATCGTGTAATAGCTTGTTATATGTTAGATTCATGTATATCTTTCTGTATATGTTTTCTATATAGTTTTTTCATAAATCATGTTGCTTTTGTTCTGCAATTCTATTCATTAACTTTTTGCAAAAGTAATATGCTTTGATAAAAATACATTGTACTTGTAAATACATTGATTTATTATATACGTATAAAAGAAATATTGAAAAATATTGATGAAATAAAATGTGTATATTCATTTTCCATATTTTCACTGTAAATATTTATTTTTCACTGCAGTGAAACATATTTTTCATATTTTCACTGCAGTGAAACATATTTTTCATATTTTCACTGGTGTCTTGCCGTAATACTTTCTTCTAAGTTCAGCCAATATACAAAATTTAAGTGGAAATCTTTCAAATTGTCGCCGCCACTCATGTAATCTTTATTTTAATACCACTCGGTGAAAGTAAAAAAAACTTGTATATCCTCTATTTATTCATTAAATAAACGATCTTAATTATCAGTGACTTGATTTTAATAACTTTTGTAGACATTAAGATAGTGCTATATGTTCAATAGCTATGATGTCGTCACTGTGGTTTGTGAGGAGATGTTAAAGATGTTTTAACTTTATAAGCCGGTATTTAAGTGACCCCCGTCGTTAAACCTAGAGCATATACGAAACATACCAAATATGATATCTATGCTCTGGTCATTAGATTTTTCCATAAAAATTTTAACTTAAATGTGTTACGCTAATGTAAATACTTTTGATGGGGACCACAAGGTCTTGCTGCACACCATATTTATGTCCCAGTCATTAATAGTTCCCATAGGTTTTCTATAAAAGTTTAAGATCCAAGTGACTCTCAGGGCTGGACTTCTTTGGTCCAAGGGGCATAAATCATAACAGAACATAACATAATATAAATTTTATTTAACATAAAATTGTAAACATACAATTTATAGTCAATTCAGATTCTGTATGGTGTACAGTTTGCATAAGAAATATTTATACATGTAAGAAACAAATGTACTTAAACAACGAAGAAAAAAATATCTGTTTACGTTGCCGAGAAGCATTGTTGATAAAAATAAACAAGTCAAATAAGTCAAATAATTTATTGGCATAAACATATACATGCAAAGGTTACGACATAATTGCATAAAAAAATACTTACACATGTATACACAGTAGAACGACATTAGTTCACGTGCCGAGAATTATTGGTGACAAGTATAAACAGAGAGTTGGCATAAATACACTTAAATATGTAAGAGTCTAAGTAGAAAGATATTTGTTAACGTTATATCATATCGATATCCACAAATCAAACGGCAATTATATTATTTCTAAGATGACATAACCGTTGTATATGTACTAATCATTTATTGTCGTAGTTATCTCCCATTTACCAGTAATCATGAGGAAAAAGTGTTATCGGATATTAAAAGGTTAAAATCTAAAGTTATTTTCTTTCTTTAAATGCGTAGTACAGATAACTTGCCAGATTATTAATTGTTTTTATATTTGTGCTTTTCATTAGTGTTTCGAATTTCTGCATTGAAGGCCATCTACAAAAATATGGTTTAAAAAACTTTCTACGTAAATTGTAATATTTCGGGCATATTAATAAGAAATGATATTCTGTCTCTACTAAATTTAATGGACAATTTCGACATTTTCTGTTTTCTCTTGGAATATTATCGTGCCTTCCTTTTTCTATTTCGAGATTATGAGCTGATAGTCTAAATTTGGTTAAAATAATCCTATGGCTATCTTTGTTTATAACGCTTAAATACTTTTCGCACTGAAATTCGTGTTTAAAATGACTGTAAGACGAAAGTCTGTTAGAATTATTAATGCTTGAATACCAATTTTGTTTGTAGATATCTAAAATTCTTTGTTTTATGACACATACATTTATATTTAAATTATCTTGTTGTAGCCAAACGTAAGACATTCCTATTTGGTTCAGTATATTTTTTATTTGGAAAGCCCAATTTTTTTCTCTGTATGGTAGCTCATTATCTGCATCTTCTTTTAGCATGTTATACATTTTTTTAAGAATTGAGTTATCAGGTGACTTAAGTATCTTAATCCAGTATTTAAACATTAGGATTTTACGGTGTATTGCCATTGGATATCTCCCTATTTCTCCATATAATGCATCTAGGTTTGTTGATTTACGGACACAAAGGATCTTTCGAATAAATTTACAATGTACAAGTTCTATATTTTTACAATCATAGTATCCAAACACTTCTGCGCTATAATTTAAGACGGATCCAACTAATGTATTCAACAGTTTACATTTATCTTGAATCTTTAGATCAAGTTGGTTAAATACTGTAAAAAGGTTATGCATAGAAAATGATAAATGTTGAGCAAGATGCGTTTGTGTCCGATTCCAATCTCCATTTTTAAAGAAATAAACGCCTAAATATTTAAAGCTTTTAACAAACCGTTGAAAATGAAGTTAAACGTTGAATGTCTACCTTGTTCAAATATCATTATTTTAGTTTTAGATGTGTTAACTTTTAGATTCCATGTTTGGCAGTATGAATTCAAATCATTTAACATTGATTGTAATGCACTGGGTGTATTGGCAAAAAGAGCTGTATCATCAGCAAAAAGTAGCATTAATAATTTTAATTCATGTACGGTGGAAATTCCATCAATGTTATAACTGTTATGAATTATGTCATTTACGAAAAATAAAAATAAAATACTTGAACTGGGGTCACCTTGTTTTGCACCTATGTTTGAGATGAAGTTTGGTGATATCTCTTTTTTAAACCTTACCGCTGATTTTACGCTGCTGTACATGCTTTCAATTGCTTTTACAAATTTTGAACTAACATTTTCCTCGATTAGTTTTTGAAAGATAAACGAACGTTGTAATTTATCAAAGCATTTTTCAAAGTCTACAAAGGCTACGTATAATTAATTTTTATCAGAAAAAGTTTTTACTATTATTGAGTAAAGTATAGATATGCAATCTGTAGTTGATTTTCCTTTTTGGAATCCGTATTGATTATCTATTATAGTTTTATGTTTTTATAGTCCATGATGTTAGGCGATTAGGTAATACCTGGGAATATATTTTAGCAATAATGTTTATCAAAGTTATACACCTATAATTTTTGGCATCTTCCGGGTCACCTCCCTTATGTAAAGGAACAATAATTTCTGATCCCCACTCACTGGGATATTCTCCGGTATAAAATATCCTGTTAAAAAGTCTTAGAATTAAATCAGACGTTTCATTAAAAGAAATTTTATATATTTCCGATATAAGTGTATATTTTCCACTACTTTTATTATTGTTTTGTGAAAATACTGCTTTTTGTGATTCTGACATATTAATTTCTTCATCTAAGTCTTCATCTATAATATTTTGATTATAAGATGTATTTCCAGTTGTTGTCTCTGTGCTATACAGTGTTTTAAAATGCTCATATAGATCTTGTGTTGTTAAAGTTTCAGCCCTTCTTGTATTTTTAGTGTACTGACTTCTAATCTTATTTCAAAATTTACGTGGTTGAGATTTTACTCATTTCATTTAAGTTTTGCCTGTCATTAAAGTTATATTTTTTCTTTTGGGTTCGTTTAATTTTGTTATAATTATTTTTATGGTTTATATATAGATTACGATGGTTATCATTGTCTTTCTTTTTTACAAAAGCATTTCTTGCTTTTTTGAATTCAGCTCTAGCAGTGTGTAACAGTCAGCATTGAACAATGGTTTTTTCTTTAATACTTTATTTATAGATACAGTTCGTGTTGTTCGTGTTTGTCCGAAAATATCAATCGCTTAAAATCTTAATAAAAGATTGTGATATAGTATCAATATTTTTGTTTTGGTTAATTTCATTAGTTAGTTCTAATATATCTCCTCTTTTTGAGTTAAAGCATTCTATAAATTGTGAAATTTTTGTATTGTCAAATTTCAACGTTAATAATAAATCAACGTTTGTATATGTAAACTAAACAGAGATACTTGTCAAAAAAACTAAGCTTTTGGAATACTTAAATGTGATTACATGATTTAGATAACTTTTGTAGACAACAATCAGAATGAGATTTATTGTGAACTAACATTTCCTTAACACATGTCATTTTACCGGTTTACTAGATTTCTGTCAAAATTTGGTGAAATTGATGTCACTCTTCAGTTAGGGTATAAATAAATTATTAATATAAGTTTATCGTAAATAAAGAAATTATAACTGCCACCACACTTAAGAACGCTGACTTATAAGCTTTCTGCAAACACAAAATGGTCGTTTCCATAAAATAGAATTCTGTTACCAATTATTTACCAATACATTCCTTTGAATTTAAATTATCATTTGTAATATTTCTAGAATGGATTGTGTCATGAATACATAATTATTGATTTTTTAAAATTGGAAAAGAACATTTAAGTAGCAGACAATTCTTATTTGATGAATTTAATACAGGTTATGTTTCAGTTTATGTGACCATATCTTAATGTCTGTAACACTCATTGCATCATAATCAGATCATATAATTGAATAGTGTATGTAGTTTCTTAATTGTTTTTATAAGAGACTTAGTAGCGGACATTGTATTATAATACTCATGTTTTTTATCTGGAATATTATTTGCGTGATTGTTCAATTGTCCTTTAACACATTTATGAAGTTGAACGTAGACTTCGACATTATAATATTAAATTTATCAATGTTTAATTTGCCTGTTTCTCCCTGTCTGTAAGGCGTAGAGATATACTGTTTGTTTTACAGCAATAACCATTGTACTTCAATAACTGACAGGTGAGAAAGACAAGATATAGTGAAATAGACTTGACCAATATTTGCGAAGCTTGTCCCGCCTTTCTCCGTGTCTGTAAGGCGTAGAGATATACTGTTTGTTTTACAGCAATAACCATTGTACTTCAATAACTGATAGGTGAGAAAGACAAGATATAGTGAAATAGACTTGACCAATATTTGCGAAGCTTGTCCCGCCTTTCTCCGTGTCTGTAAGGCGTAGAGATATACTGTTTGTTTTACAGCAATAACCATTGTACTTCAATAACTGACAGGTGAGAAAGACAAGATATAGTGAAAAAGACTTGACCAATATTTGGGGATTTTGTCCCGCCTTTCTCCGTGTCTGTAAGGCGTAGAGATATACTGTTTGTTTTACAGCAATAACCATTGTACTTCAATAACTGACAGGTGAGAAAGACAAGATATAGTGAAATAGACTTGACCAATATTTGGGGATTTTGTCCCGCCTTGCTTCCTGTCTGTTAGGCGTAGAGATATACTGTTTGTTTTACAGCAATAACCATTGTACTTCAATAACTGACAGGTGAGAAAGACAAGATATAGTGAAATAGACTTGACCAATATTTGCGAAGCTTGTCCCGCCTTTCTCCATGTATGTAGATATACTGTTTGTTTTACAGCAATAACCATTGTACTTCAATAACTGACAGGTGAGAAAGACAAGATATAGTGAAATAGACTTGACCAATATTTGCGAAGCTTGTCCCGCCTTTCTCCATGTATGTAGATATACTGCTGTTTGTTTTACAGCAATAACCATTGTACTTTAATAACTGACAGGTGAGAAAGACAAGATATAGTGAAATAGACTTGACCAATATTTGCGAAGCTTGTCCCGCCTTTCTCCCTGTCTGTAAGGCGTTAAGTAAATATACTGTTTGTTTTACTTCAATTACTATTGTGCTACCTCTGGTCATCATACAGATATATTAATGTAAAAAGGATAAAAACATTACACAGACACCAAAGCAATTTTTATCATATTATTTCCATTAAAACATCTTATTTCCCTTATAATCCTATGTTTGGCGAAATTATTGGCGTGACTCCTCCATAAGCATATAACTATAGATATGTACAAGCAAAACAGTTTCTGTTAAAATCAGCACAAATTGATAAGCACAATAATGATCTTTTTATCAGCACAAACTATTTAAACATTGCTTTAAAAAATCAGCACAAATGTTATATCAAAACAGAACACAACAAATCTTTCCAGCAAATCCATATGTCCTACTCATACACATTCAGCCGCACTTATATTACTATTTTATGTTAATACTTAGCTTGCGCCGCAAAATAGCGATATGGCACCTTTTTTTACAAAACAGCAACAAAAGCGGGTCCCGAAAAAACAGGATGACCCCTCTCTAATAAATTAAACTTGGCCGAAGCTGATAGCCAAATTGGACTGGCAGGACAGTCCCACCGCCAAACAGCGGCAGCAAGGCCATGGTATATGGGGATCCACGCCAAAAGTACAAGTAGGACCAAAATGCAGGCACTGGTTTCACAATTGTCATTTTGAATAACCTACTAATGACGCTCGCTACTTACATTTTAGATGTAAGATATGTTAGATAAAATTTGACACGATTCAACTCTAAATATACATGTTATACGCTCGTATTAATAATTATAACTGATGACAATTTCACTTTTATATAACATAGATCATTACTGCAGATTAACGTGTCTAAATTTTACGCTTCAAAACTTTCATTTATACAAAAACTTTTATCAATTGATGTTATAGTAAACAAGCGTGCCATGTTTAAGTTAGGGTATTCTTTGTAAAATAAAAGAGAGGATAGACAGATCAAAGGGTTATTGTCCATACCCAAACAATGTGGACAATGTAAATCTATCTTATATATAGCATTGAAAAGTTATATTCGATATGTAATTGGCGTATAATCTTTCCTTGAGAACTGGAATACTATAAATATATAAACGATAAAAGTTTTTGTAAAGGATATTTCATTTGAGTATAATAAATGTGAAATTTATCAATAACCGATTGAGGAGAAATGACGATCTTAATAAGTAATGTACTGATTTAATATCTTAAAAAAACGACATGCGTTGACAATATAGTCAAACGAAAGACTGGATTTAAACATTAAAGTGACAGGAAAGAGAAAAGAAAAAAATATGCGAGAATTCAGACTCATTTTGACATATTTGGTTATATTTTCAAGACTTGTTTGTAAGTTTTGCTTTTCATGAATATTTTTCTTATCTATTTTATCATAGTTGGCTAGCATTTTCTTAATCATTTTTACATAATAATGTACAAGGGAAGGTCAAAACATCAATTAACTTTTTTACTTATTTTGGAAAGCTTACCAAACGTATATTTAATTTCGTATAAAACTAACGGATTTTAAAACTATCTTGTAAAAACAACAAAAACGTCTAGATAAATTTTATATTGTTTGAAGTTAAAGACATGTTTCTATGATTATTTTAACGGGCGAATTATTTAGTAATATATAAACACGATTAAAAAAGAGATCATTCTGACAATTTATTTTTTTATTTGAATTTTCACGGCGAATCGACACACGTATACCGTGTTTTTCTGGTCAAAAGTGTCACATACCATTTTTTAGATTTCTTTTCTATATATGAGCAACTTCAATAGCGTAGTTGTCATTTGATTTAGTTTTCCGAGTGAAGTGCATAATTCCAGAAACTAATGAAAAAAATATTGTTGAATGTCAGTCGTGAGGTATCAAACGTTTTATTACATATAGGACCTTCATTTAATGACACCTTCAAAATGTTATATGAAATCTAAGTAAAAGACAAGCTTGAGGTGAATCAAACAAATTTCATAAAAATAAATGATGTTCAGTATGATCATCTTGTTGAATATGGAATGTAAGATATGCTCTTGGGAACTAATGACCACAGCTTTTTTTAAAGGGTAACATATTTAGAGATTTAAAATGGTATAAATATTTAATAATGCTTTAAAAACATGTTTCCACAAATTTGGACTGTATTCATTCACTTGACACTATCTTTGCTGCTCTAAAGTAGATATTTTTATTTCTGTGTTCCATGCATATTATGTTTGAATTAAACAAATCAGGATAACATCAAATATTTACGTTAAATATATTTTCGAGTTTACACAAAGTAAGTTTTCATTCATGTTATGATGTTTTTTTAGGTTCTGGACTATCATTGGCATGCGATATAATCGAGTATGAAATATTTCACATTTACGCAATTCATAAATACAATTCTGTATTGTACACGTGATAATAATCTGTAAATGTTGACAGTTGTTAATTAAACTATATTAAGATAATTCGATAATTGTTAAAGGGACTTCACTAAGGTGTACTTGAAGAGTTATTCCAGATTGGTTGAAGGTCTAGACCAATAGCAAGAGGTGCAACACTTTTCACTCAAATAATAATAATAATAATAATAATAATAATAATAATAATAATAATAATAATAATTTTAATTATAATTTTAATTATAATTTTAATAATTATAATAAAGAATAAAAAAAGAATAAATTAAAATACGATTTTCAATTTATTTGAGTATATTTGCATATCTTTTTATTTTAAGTGAGTTGATCTATGAAAGAAATTCAAATCTTATGTTTTAAGCTTTTAAACCTCAGTGGAGTTCCTTTAACAGCTTCCCGCATTATAAATAAGCAGCCACGTGGATACCAGTCGTCGAGACTAAAGATGACAGCTGCACGTAAAACTAAATATTACATCTGTCGAGAGCTTACCGTATATGCAAAAAATAACGGTTGCCCGAAAATGCAAATACTTGTGACAACTGTATTTATGAGTAGTGCAATTATCTAAGATTAAAATATTTTTACATACGTCATTGTCCGTAATTGACAGGAAAATTAACATAAAATAGGAATAGGTTTACATGAACATAAAAGTAATATTTACAACTGAAAATAATAATTTTGTTTACAGTTGTCGATAAATGTTAACATTTGAAGAATTTATCAGATATTTTGACAGAGTTTACAGCTTTTCGTCCTCCCAAATTAATATAATTATCGTTAACAGTGAACTAACATTCTTACGGATGACAACGGTCGTGAACGTTCGAAATATTACTGTTTATGAACTTTAACGTTCGATATATAACTGCCAGTAGCCTTGAACGATCAAAATAGTATTGATAATGAACTATTTCAAACTTTTCGTTTGCTTCCTCATGTGTATATGTTGTTTCTATGTTAAATGATTATTTACCTTATTTATATTATTTATCAATTCTGTGTTTATTCAATATTTGTTACATTAACCATTGTTACAGGTACATCTATATTGTATATCCTCCCAAGATACTTTTGTTTCGTTTCGATAAGAATCTAAAGCAAGAGGATATATTGCTGAATACAATATTTCAAACTTTTCGTTTGCTTCCTCATATGTATATATTGTTTCTATGTTAAATTATTTCTTTATTTATTTAATTATATTACCTTATTTATATTATTCATCAATTCTGTGTTTATTCAATATTTGTTACATTATAATAATTATACATGTATTCATATGTTTGTCAGTCATACATTGATGTACATGTAATGATTTATGTACTTTTTGTAAGAACTGTATTGTATATGTATGTACTCTTCAAAACTGGAGGAAATAAAGAAATATATATACATTACTTTAAACGGATTTAAACATTTGGCATATAACTATCAATTTACTTAAACATTCGTTTTATTACCGTCAACGGTCGTGACAATTTAAAAAGAATCTATAAACTGACTTGATCTTTTAAATATAATTACATGTATAAATTTACTGAAAAAAATTCATAATATTACTGTTTGCGGCTGTGCACATTCGAAATATTACTGTCAACGGCCGTGCACATTCAATGTATTACTATCAACGGCCGTACACATTCGAAATATTATTGTCAACGGCCGTGCACCTTCGATATATTACTGTCAACGGCAGTGCACATTCGAAATATTACTGTCACGGACTTTAACGTTCGGAATATTACTATCAACGGCACCCTCGAAATATTACTATCAACGACCGTGCACATTCGAAACATTAATATCAACGATCGTGCACATTCGATATATTACTGTCAACGGCCGTGCACATTCGGCATGTTACTGTCAAGTTCTAGATACAATTGAAACATGAACTATAAAGAAACGTGATCATTCAAAATAGTACCGGTTTTTCTTCTCAGTCAAAGTAATACAACACATACTGAATCTTTTCATTCTAATTGTCATCGATTTAAATGAAATATAAATGTGATATCATATTGATATAAAATTGTTCTGTAGACGGATATTTAATGATCACAATAAACACCGTTTAAAGACGATAAATTCTCTTCAAAGAAATTGCACTTGCACTAACAGTCTAAGCGGCGATTAAAGTGAAAATATTATTCTATATTGTATTGAACTTGTTATTCAGGTATAAAAACAACGTTTGTTGAATATACAATTGTTAAGCATGACTGTTATACATTTATTTTATGTTTAAAGTGGCACGCTGCATTAAGGTGTAATAAAACTACGTCTGACGTACATCTGTACGAACAATTTAATAAATACCTTAATCAAACTCATGGTGTTGGAAATATATCACACAATTGTAAAATGTAAACACAGATCAACGAAAAGGGAACACCACCATTCACTTTACCATAAAGCGCCACCTTAAACACATCCTATCAAAATGCACCCTTTTACAAAGACTATATCAGTATCTTTTTGAAAAATTCTCTTTGAAAAAAAAAAACAAAAAACAAAAAAACAAAATAACAACATCAAATATAACTGATTTTGCATTCAAACTTTATTTATTATTATACATGTTGCTGTTTCTATACTTTTAGTGCCGGTAGATGGCGTTTATAGCGCGGCAAAGGAAACAGAGATTCGGTCTGAAACTGTATTAGCTGCCGGATATGACATGATTTCTCGACCGTCTGCTACAACCACCGTTAAAGTAGGCATCAGCGTGCTGGCAATAGATGAGCTTGTAAGTTTGAAAACTATAAAAAAATAAATCTATAGATCGTGTGATTAAATATTTGAAAAGAGACCAACTGAAGAAAATGATTGCAATAAAAATGTATTATGATTGTTGAAATGTATTTTGTCACTTTAATATTGCGGAGTTAATGTCAATATTGATCATTCATTCACGATAGCTAACTTATTATACGAGTACTGAAACTAGGTGACGTATTTTTTATTTTATCATACATATAATCTATTAATTTAATGTTTGCCCATAGAGCAGAAAATAAGAATAAAATATTAATAAAAAAGGTCATGAACATACAAGTTTAAAATATAGATTATTTTCATGTCTTATTGTTAATATGAAATATTTTCGCTCTTGAAAACTTGATTTTAAGTGTATATCGTAAAGAAGTCATGACTCTACCTGATATAAATAGTAAGATATGTTTGAATGCGTCCAATCAGATGAATACAAACTGCTTTGCGGCACATCAGATAATAAATAATTCGTGCAAACAGGTGCATTTCGTAGTAACATATTCTTCATTTCTACATTATCAAACAAATTAACCCAAGTTTTATCAAACTAAAAATCTCAGCCTTGCATCTTTTTTTTTACGTTCACCAATGTACATTTTAAAACCATAGTCCAAGACACAATATGATCACAGAATGTAGACGTGCAAATAAAGATGTACGCAATCAAATAATTATATTTATTCAGATATAGTGATATTTATATGAAACAAATTCAACAAAGCCTGACATTTACAAAGATAAAAACAATTCAATACAAAATATTCTTTCATTTAGTTAATACTTGCATTATGTACATTTCCTAACAATTTTCATTATCATCTGTGAAGAAAAGGAAGACAGAATATATACTTTTATTAATGTATGCGTGTAGTTTTAGACTTTAAATGTTTAAGAACACGGACATTGATGTATGTTTATAATCCAATGAAAACTAAATGAAAAAAAAACAAAAACAAAAAACAAAAAACAAAAAAAAAAACAAGGCAGAAAAAATAAAATCATAGTTAACTATAGCCGCCTCATAAATCATGATTTATTGTCATGATTTATTGTTAAAAAAGTACACTGTCATAAATATGTCTCGGTTTCTAATCACTAACCCATATTACAATTAAGATATTATCTTTGCTTTTATTTGAAACAAATAACCCTTTAATAATTATTGATGCATTGATGCGTAATAATTCTACAGACATTCAGTAGTTTATTTGACCACCAAGATATTGACATGAAAATTAAAGCAAAATAAAAGAAACATGTGACATATTGTTTTGTTAAGTTTTCACAATTTTATTTCGTTTCTAAATAGAACTCTGCTAATATTAATTAATGATGAAATATATGTTCAACATTTTCATTTTTGATTCTCTTTTTATCATTGTCATTGCCTTTGTATAGTTTTTAAAATAAAATATTGTCCTAATGAAAAGGTATTAAACAATATGAACGGTACTATGTTGAATTAAGCCACTCATGCATAGAGGGTACAGAATATTTATTGTGATAGAAGTGTAGCATAACAACATGTAGTCAATAAATTTGTACTCGTAATTAAACCTTGTAAATAAAAAAGAGAATATTATACACTAAACAGACAGAAAAAGGAACAAACATTTATACTGAGTGATACACGACAGCTTATTTACAAGTTATAAAGCTTAAATTTTATTGCAAGGTATCTAAGTGTTAATATTGTCGACTTTTTAAGCGTTTAAACACTAATAATGATAAAGCAGAAATTAGAGACTCCTAAATTGTATGTATTTTATTATGGTATTGAATGTATGTATTTAATTTCAATGTTATGTTAAGTGTCAAAGTTTCTATTATTGTAAATTGATATTCCACAGGTCAATGAGCCTATAAGACAAATATTTTATATATGTTCACCTGTTATAACAATACGCCTCTGTATTACATGGTATTAAGATTTTACGTTATTAAAAATATTTAGTTATTATAATATTTGATATCATTTTTTAGATAATTGTGTGATAAAAATTCAAATTTTCTTGCACAATCTTACAAACTTCATACCACAGTACTCCTTGTTAAGTTAATGCAATATCTAAATATTTCCATTAGATCACCGTATCTATTTATTTGTTACAATAGCAATTGTAACACTATTTATGCATACCAAAAAGGAAACAAAAAAAACCGTGCGAATTAACGAGTTGCAACGCACACTTGCAGCTCATTTGTTATAAAATTGCGTTAAAACGTTAGCATAATATTACGTGAGGCTACCCGGTTCACTCACATCCAGTTCCTCCTGATTCATCAGCCCCGATAAAACAAATATGATATGTTTTTATTAGACATATGTTATCTATGTCTCTGACATAACACACATAACGATGTAGGTTAGTTTTGATTTACGACAGTGTTATATTGATGTCGTAAAAGAAATTTATGTTTATGATAAATTGTGTCGATAATATTAGGATATTTTCCCGCGTTACAAATTGAAATGATGTAGTTTATTATTCTATTACATTTCCCGACAATCGAATCATGAGCCAGTATATACATGTACATGCATCACTCAAGTGGTTTGTTTTAATTCAATAGCTCGCTTTTTTAACAATTCATATGATCATTATAAAATAAGTAATAGAAAGAGCATCGAAACACGAGGCTATCTGATTTGTACGAGGGGGCGTAGACCCCGAGTATTAATCAGATTGCCGAGTGTTTTGATGTTCTTTCTCTTTTGTATCATAGTCAAACATAAAATCACGTTCCCTGTTGTCACAATATGAAACCCCGGCAAAAAGGAACCAATGAACGAACATCTGAATATGATATTTCTGTCGCGTTCCCTTTTCTTGCCGTCACAATATGTAAACCCCAGCAAAAATGAGCCAATCAATGGTCATGCTCTGGAGTGCGGGTAACTAGTACCTGCACTCCATTAAACGCACTGTGCATGTATATGTATACGATTTAACTCTGATTCATTTTCAACAGAAAGGTCCCCAAACTGTGATACAATTAAGAAATAGTGCACAGCACTGACGACCATCAGCATTTAGGTGACCAATCAGTCAACCGTTTAATGTTTAGGACTTACTTATGTTACTTGAAGGCGGTCCGAATTACAGTGTGCTTTTTCTTATATTATACCGTACCTTGGTTAAAGTTGGAAATCATATTGTTTTAATCACAACATTTCTTGTAAAATGTTGGATCACTGACGTCGTCGTGAATATTTAAGTATTAAAAGGATCGCTGGCACTGAAATGAATAAAAAAGGAACCTATTCTTGTAAGGTATAATATTATAAAAATCTTACACTTGCCAATTATGCTTTAATTGTAAAATTGTACTGGTTTTGTAATAAACGATTTTTTATTTATATTTCAGGATCTGAGGAGTCAGAAATTTCAAGCTGCAGGATGGGTGACCACTGTAAGCATTTCCAGCTTTTATTTATTTATAATTTTGTCCAAACAACATAAATACGGGCATGCCGTTTCGTATCTTTCGTTTGGCCCTTTTACATGTAGGTACACTATTTACATTTTGTCTATGCTCTTTAACTGTTAAGTTCGGACGGAAAACTTTAAAGCAAACTCAAAAAGCTCACAACGGATGCAAGATGGATAGTTTACGCCACCTGTTGGGAGGAAGTAAGATATACCAGAAATAATATATATGTACATAATTAAATTTTTTTAATGGCTTAAATAAATAATATTTTGTCTAACACAACTTCCAAAATATTTTATAACAGGAATGGGAAGATAACCGGTTAACATGGACACCAGCAGCAAAAGATGATATTGAAGAAATATTCTCTAAACCTGGTAACATCTGGAAACCGGAACTAGTTGTAGACAACTCGTATGTACTTTTATCTTAATCAGCTATCAAAAAAGGCGCCGTATGTGATCTGATTAGTTATCCCTTCTGAATGTAAACGACAATAACATTAACAGCAAAACATAGTTGAATATTTCTTGAATCAATAAAAGAAATCTGGCATATATGAAATAAAGTATAAACAAGTATTGCAATTGTGAAAAATGGAAGGCACTAATAATGTCCGTTTCCACTTATAATAATGTCCTTTTCCACTCATAATTCAGTCTTAAAGTCTAACAGTTTCATATTTGTGTCAATGATCTTATGATCATTGTCATAATGTATCATAAATTAATGTTGTTTTTCCGCCAAAAGTAGTCTAAATAGCATTTAGAACAATATATAATTATTATTATACCATTATCGATAATTGTATCATAGTTTGGGAACCTTTTCGTTGAAAATGTGTCAGAGTTAAATCGTATACCTACAGGTATTACTTACAGCAAAACATATACAAAGAATATTTGTTAAATCAATAAAGAAATCTGACTAGCTAATTTTTTTCTGGGGTTTACTTATTGTGACGACAGAGAAAGGGAAAACGATAGAAATATCATATTCAGATGCTCGTTATATCACATATAACTCTTTCCTGGGGTTCGATTTATCATTTGTCAATTCTAGAACTTGATTTTAAAATTGCAATCCATTCAGTGAATAATGCTAGATCCTTTTATGAGACTTACCTGTCTTATTAAAATCATCAGAATAGTGCATTACAATAAGATTTTCACCACAATCATTTTGCTAACAAATGAACACATGTCAATGTGTGTGGTTAAATCTATTGATATTAAAAAAAGGGCCAGGGTACGGATTTATCAATTGAACTTATTCCACTACTGAATTATAAATTGATAATGATGAGTAACAGGAATACTATCTCTGCACAAACTCGAGTTTCGTCATTTTGTATTGTTTACTTAAAAACACACGTTTATATTTTTGTGGCTCAACCTTTAAATTAATATTTTAGGTTTAACGTTTTTTGGGTAAGATAAGCATTTAAGAAAACTAAAAGAAAATTTGCTCATCCGAAAAGCTATGTTTAATTTGAATTATTATAATTCCTTTATTTGTTCATTTTTGAACCTTTTGTTGAAATGGTAGATTGATGTAATAAGGATTATTGACGCTAAATATCTGAGAATAAGTTTGTTAAATCGAATAAGAACCAGCCTAACTTTTATTTTACACAGGAAGGACGTGAAATATAATAGTGTCTTATATAGATAATAATCTTCTTTCGTTTGAATTTTAATTTAAAACTGTTTTAAAAGAAACAATAATAATTAATTTTTATGAATATTTTTTAAAAATCATTAAATATAAATAAGTTTAAAAATATTTTGCTGTCCCTTAAAAATCTAATATTCTACATTTTCAATTAACTTTTTAACAGTAATTGTTTGGGTAAATCTCACGAGGTATTGTTTATACGATAAGGATTTTTGCCGAGGATGATCCCCACGGTTAAACTAAAAAGTTCCGTAAAATACCCGAATTTAAAATGCAAATGAAGATTTAATATGCATTCTGTGTATTTCGCTCACGTCACAATTTAAGTTCTACCCGAAAATAACCAACAATCATGAGATTTTTCTTGTGCAAACACTTTATTTTAATTTACCCGGGCTTTAACTACAGGTGCCAAACTAAAACCTGAAGTTCAGTGAGAAAGTAATCATCTCTAGCAAACGATTAAATTTTGTTTTGAAAAACACCGTTAATTTAGTGGCTAACCTTTAAATTAGGTGCTTACTTGAAGTTTCATTGTTTCTTTTTTTATTTTAAATATTGAAATTAAGGCATATCTCAAGGCGGAGTTTTTTTGAAATTTGTTAAACAGTTTTATTGTTTTCCATTTTTCCACAATAGGTTGTGGAATTTTTTTTAGCTTGATGAAATTTAAAAATTTGGTTAGTCTGGAACACCCAAAAATAAGACTGGGTATTATAAAGTGCGAATTTTTTAAATTGAAATGTCGCTTTTTCATGTTTTGATGAATTAAAAGTTTTAAAAGGCAACATTAATTTTTTGTTTAACTCGTCAAATTCTAAAGTTTTGCTAGTACTAAATTATCGCATTAAATCTAATGAGGGACTGAAGTACTTTCATTAATTTAACCTGTTATCACAATAAACATTTCAGGTGGACATTACATATTATCCATATGATAAACAGAAATGTGAAATTCACATAGCAAGTTGGGGGTATACAGACAATGAAGTTGCCCTGGAAACACCCAATGTCCCCGTCAACTTAGCCGACTTTGAGTAAGTTACCACTAATTTGGTTTAACTGATTTTCTTAAATGAACTTGTCCGGTTCAAGTTAATCAGCTTGGTCTGACTGCACAGTTACGTAGACTAGCTTGGGTGGTATATTGTGGTCAAAAGGGTTCGAGCATTTTTACGGTTATAATTGTAATAGGAAGGAATGACTTTGATCCAAATTGTGATGCATCAATCCGCCTCCAGTTGAATTCTAATCTAGCTATGATGGTAGAAACGTATCATAAAAAATATACAGCTTGATATTATAAAGACTCATTCATGTATTTGTATTAGACGGATTTTAAATTCGTTGATTTTTAAAGGTGTCGTATTTCAAACTCACTACAAGATACAAATTGAAATAATAACCTAACATATTACATTTATTAGTGTTCTTTAGTGGTGTCATAGGCAGATATTTTATTATTGACCCGTGTGCTTTTGTGCTTATTATAAAAGGGTAATTCCTGTTTGTATATGGTCTATGCACATTACTGTTTTTATCTGGTTTCGTATATCTCGTATTTCAAACTCACTAAAAGATTCAAATCTTAAAATATTGACCCTATAATTTCTGTTCTTATGTGTTGTTATATATAAATGTTATGATATTCTATAACAAAGTTGGTTGTTATATTTATAGGACGCATGGTGAATGGGAGATAACATCATCAAGTACTGTAATTACCTATATTGTTGAGACGTTAGATGACGGTACAGTCCGACAGTTTCCGGAGATACAATTCTTACTTTTCTTAGGTTATTGTTTTGTTTCTAACATCCAGCATGTAAAAAAGATTATTCAGAAATGTTTGTTGTCCATGTAGACCGACTTATTTCATTGCTTTTTAAAAGTTTTACCTGATTTGTGATTTTGACCGTCTTAACTGTGTAGATAATAATTATGTTTCAAATTTCAACCAGTTTATTTTCAAAGATTCGCTACATTTGTTATTACGCTTTGTATTAACTTTACTAAGCATTATTTTTTTCAGAGCGGAGATCAGGGTATTATAACCTGAATGTCATCATGCCAATAATATTGACGTCCCTGCTCGTGGCGTTGACGTTTATAGTTCCGGTAGAGTGCGGTGAAAAGTTGTCCTACATTCTAACAGTATTTCTCTCGCTTGCTGTGCTACTTACTCTAGTTGCTGACTCCATGCCGTCAACGTCTATCACAACGTCTGTTCTAGGTAGGAATACAATACATTGTTTTATCAATCATCTAGTTTTTTACATAAATGTAGACAAACGAGTGTTTACATCTATCTATCTGTCCAATTTAAGCTTCATATTTGCTTTATATAGCACTTCTTAATTGATATCACCAGAGATAGTCACCAGAAGAACGTTTCGCAGCAAATAGATAAATGTATTAAGTAACGGTCCAATCACATAACGCATGAGACGTAATGAAGACAAAGAGTCATATTTTTGTAGTAAATTATTGTACTGGATTGTTATGATAGGTTTTAATATAGAGCTTGGATGGCCAGAATAACAATGGCACAAACGCGTATAAAATGTTTTTCAAGAACTGTTAAAACTTATATAATTCATAGCAAGAATATATTTTAGAAGGAAATATTTTAGACGTAACAGAAATTTAGTAACTTTTATTTGTATTTAGGTCTTTATCTTGCCTTGGTCACGGTGTTGTCGGCTGTAGGAATTCTTATCACAGTTTTCATTCTGATCTTATTCAACAAACCGGGAGTCGCAAAATCTAACTCGTGCATCATGAAGGTTACTCGCTTTGCTGCCAAGATCACGTGTTCATTAAAATTGACACGTGACAGCCGTATGAACAGTGTGTCACCTGCATCAGACGAGGAGGGTGATAGTAAAATTTCAAAATCTGACGCCACCTGTGACGTCACGTGGAGGGATGTAGCGATAGTGCTTGATAGACTGTGTTTTCTTGTTTTTACAATTGTTACTATTTTAATGAATCTATCATTTGTTATTGCACTTGTAGGAGGAGGAAAGGCAAGCGAACCGTAATATGAACATACAGATATTATGACTATTGATCTTGCCAGTGTTTAACTGTTTTCTGTCATTTATTATATCTTTTATAAACTTTTTATGCTCCCCGAAGGGAGAGCATATTGATGCCGCTTTGTCTGTCTGTCTGTACGTCCGCATTTTCTTGTCCAGGACATAACTCTGAAACTACAAGAGATATCAACAAGAAACTTAGTAGGTAGTTAGATCTTACTAAGTAGAAGTACAGTGCACAAGAACAGTAACTCTGTCTTACCTCATTTTGGAGTAATTGCCCATTTTCATTTTCACACTTTTGCCCGGGACATAACTCTGAAACCAAAAAAAAAAAAAAGGTATCAACAAGAAATACTTTCTTCATTGCATATTTAAACAGTTCTCGTTTTTCAGTTGTCAACTTACGTCTTAGTATGTCGTGATAAGTCTTAGTATGTCGTGATAACGGTATATTGTATGATGTAAGAGAACAACTAACTCATAAAAGTGACACTTTTTACATTGTTAAATGCAAGTAATTTATTTATCAATATGTTTACCATAGCGGTAATACTTATACAATTCCTTTTTTCCATGTGTTTTTGAGAACAATATGGATGAACGTGAGGTTCCAGACAACATAAGTGTTTACATGTTATGAATAATTTAAAAACAATTAAAATTTCGTAAAAAATCAGGTGGCGTACTTTGGTTTGTTTTATTTACACGAAAATTGTAAATGCTTGTACCTGAAATAGCCTAACGAATCTACTATCCCTCGGTTAAAATATTGTGGCGCCGTTGTATGTCGCACTGCCGCTAAATGTCGCCTCATTTGTCGCTAAATGACGCTACCGCCGCTAAATGTCGCAATTTTTTTTTTTTTTTTTTAATGCGTTTATTTAAGGTCGCCGCCGGAAACCCATATGGGCGACCGTACACTCAAGTCGGGCCATCCTAGAGCGTCCCGCCGAGATTTTTTCGTTGATTTTTTTCCAGCTTTATTGGTGGAGGAAGACCCCAGGTGCCCCTCCGGGCATTATTTCAGGCACGAGCGGGCACCTGGGTAGAACCACCGACCTTCCGTAAGCCAGCTGGATGGCTTCCTCACATGAAAGAATTCGACCCGAGTGAGGATCGAACCTACAGCGGTGAGGGACCTGTGATCTCAAGTCAGCGACCTTAACCACTCGGCCACGGAGGCCCCCAATGTCGCAATGGATTTCAATTCCCGTTATATGTCCCAACGCTACAGATGTAAATTCATGTTTAACTAGCAGCTAATGGTGTTGCATTAAATTTGTCGTTATGTTAGTTATATGTAAGTTATCATTAGTAAAGCAAACATGAATTAGTTCATATTTACAAAGGAGGGGGTGGGGGATTCCCATCTATCTGGTAGGATAGACTTTGTCGTGACTTCAAAAATAATTGGTTGAAAGAAGTAAAAATAATAATTTTGTTATGTTTTCTGAACACAGTCTAAGATGACGACATTAAATTGAATCTCACTGGTGAATAATCAAAATATCATTGCATACAATCTAGCTTCTAGTTTTTGTGAACAACTTTTATTCTTTTACTCAATGGTTCCCACTCGTGAAAATATATGGAAAATTTTATCATATTTCGAGAAAATATATTCCATATTTCACTCAAACGAAAAAATATCCTCTTAATTGTATGTGCCAACAAGGGCATATTTATGTCAGTCGCATTGACACGTAGGAGATTGTTCAATTTTAAATGTCTTTAATGATTCTTATCACTAAATTTTGGTCTAGGTGCTATTCATTTAAAATATTTGTATCATACAGCAATTGATTCTATCAGGAAATTATGTAATATACAGGATATGTTTTATTCATTTTCGATTGGGTTATTTTCATCAAGATAAAGAATCACGTGATGCTGTTTTTATATAAATCTATTTCATTCTTTATCAATAATGAAATGTACAAAGAAAAATGTAATTGTTAACAGAGCAACATTAATTGTATATTCAGAGATGCGACTGAGAATTGAATCTACGTCATACCGTCATACATTTGTTAAAACAATGAAACATATAGATATTTATAATTTATAATGTATGATACTTTTCTGCAGTTTGTATTGTACCGCCAAACAGTTACTCGGAGATGAACATGTTATGTCAATAAAATATTTGATTGACTACATTCATTTGTTAATGTTTTCTATTTTCAATGGTTTATCAATAAATAATTTCATTTATAAAGGGCTTGATAAACTATATAATTTATACAATGTCATTGTACGATGTAGAATTCAGATGTCCGTGATTCAGTTGTTTTTTAAATGCATGCAGAATTGTGATGAGAGGAATATTTTGGTAACGTATTTCTGATTTAATATCTTTAATTAACAGAAAACATTGGAAACTTGAAAATAATAGTATGATATTAATCATTGACATATCAGAAAGTATAATATGATCAGTATCTACCGGTACCGCATTGCCCTACAAGAGGCCTAGGCTTCGAACACTTAGTGTAACTGTAATAAGTGGAGAAGTTGTGATGCTAAAGGCATCCTCCCCCGGCATCACCCCTATCTCTTTTTTATGGAAAGACCATGATTTGGACTCAAACACGTTCCTTATTGACATTATTATACCTGGCGGGCTGATGTTTATACAACACGATACTTCAGCGTCAATCATTATATTATTTGAATGTTGATACTTTGTTTACTAAATTGTGTTTGCTAGTAAAACCTAAGCACACACTTTAGGTATTTGCAACCAGCGAAGTGTTATGTTTTCGTAAGAATCAGTATTGAAAAAAATATAAATATCCACGGTTTAAAGCTAGGTCAGACCGCAGGGCCTGGCTCTATACTGGTGACAAAGAATAGTCACTTTTGGTTCGAACATAGTACGGGTTTAAGTTGTGACGTTATCTATAAACACAACTTAATTGCACATTATAAAGTATATCGATATATCTATAAAAACCTATGTATAGACATACCGTTCAATTATTTAAGAACGGTTAATTAAAACGTGAAGATTATTTTATTTTTTGAAGGCATGCGAGCATAATAAGACCTCGTCTTACAAATATACTTCGGGAAAGTAATTCAATATACACAAATAAAAAAATGTATATATTGGAATTTCATTTCAGGATTTTATGTTTGTTGTTGTTTCAAAACCGTAAGTAATATTTTGAAAATTAATTATAGAATTAATAAAAGTTCTGTTAACATTTTTTAAAACAGAACAGAACAAAATCTTTGTTTATAAACTTGGGCTCCTCATTGAAAGCCTTTTTCTTAATAGAATACATGTAAATATTACAAATAAATGAATAAATAAATAAATAAATAAATAAATAAATAAATGCTAGATAGAGATAAACTTTATATTAAATGAACATAGAGTAGTCATTTGTAAAATTCAATATTCTTATTTATTGTCAAAAGTTGCATTATTAACCAAGTACTGCTCTATTTACTTGTTACCACTTCGCTAATGATTATTTCAACAATACGGCACGGCGTTTGTATAGTTTCTGCCAAACAAATATATTGAATCTTTTTACCAATTTACAGTATATTTTCTGCAATTACCTCGTAAATAACCTCTATTGACCAAATAATTACTAATTCAATGTTTCTTAAATCAATATTTATTTTCAGTTGGAGTACAGACAGTTTATTCCCCCGAAAAAGAAGCAGAAATAAGAAACGAAGAAATTAAAATAGCATCATATGATATGATATCTCGACCTAAAGCCCAGACCGTCGTTAAAATCAAACTAAGCATTTTAGCAATAGACGAATTGGTATGTATTGTTTTAGCTATTGACAAAAGTTTTTTCCACAAGTGTGCCTTAGCAATATACAAATTGACAAACAATTGTGTGTTTCTTTATTTATGCGTTTATTAAAACAGGCCGCCGGGACGAACCTATATGGGCCAGAATATTTGCAGGCGCACTTGCTGGTCCGGTCCTCGTATCTACATCAGCGGCGTCTTTTCTAAGGTATCAAAAAAAATAATGATAATAATAAAGAATAAATAAACGGCCCTTGTTAACGCCATCCTCTCGTGTTTCTGGTACTTGGGATGACTTTGTGTCTTCTCCGCGGCATGCACGCCTAGGAAATATCAAACAATATCACTACATGTACTTAGCTTTACATGTCTCCTACAATACTATTTAATCAATGTTCTAGCTGTAGATAGAGATAATAAAATGGTTATATGCTTTACTGTGGTTTTCACTTTTTGTCTCAGAGTTTATTCAGTAAAATTTCATTTCTTACAAAAAAGTACATTGTGATTATGTTTAATGTCTGTACTAAATGAACCGTTTGCTATAAAACAATTGATTTATCACAATGTTATCTTACATGCATGAACGTATCCTGTCGTTCACGTGACACAAGCTTGAATTTAGATAGTTATCCTGTCCACAAAGTATTTAAAATCATACAAAGACAAAATAACTAGGTGGTTGATTACAATTTAAGTCAATAATAAATTACTCTTTGTTAAAATATCTACAAAGTCATGAAATACGATATGATATTTTATGTATTAGTTTTATTTATCACACAAATCGTGATACAAGCCATATCAGATCTTAAAACAATGACATGGACCTTATAAATTTAACCCGTCACGCGTGATAGACATAGTTTTATTTTAATATCATAGAAGGCTTATAAGCCGAAAAATGACACGATGACAGCATAAAACATGACAAAGAATAGTTATATACAGTGTATTTGAAAAAAAATATAAGAAAATAAATAAAAATACAATATAATGATAAAAGATGCAAAAATGTACGCATGTAACGAATAAGGTAAATCATACGGATGCAATACAATACATGCACGTTTAACTATGGGATTTATACTCACTCCAAAAAGGAATCATTAGTTTTCTTTCTAGACCCATCTTTCGAAAGCTATTGAAACTGGACTGAGCAGATCGAAGGTTTGATTTTTAAGTATTCTTTGTCAGTTTTGTCCGTCCGTCCGTTCGTCCGTCAGTCAATCCGTACATACTGACATTAAGGTAGTACAAAAATTGACACTGCGAGGTTCATTCTGGTACATTCCGTACACACTACAATGTTTTTTTGAGAAAGCACGGATTGTTGAGTTTAAGATTGAGAAGGTTAACACCATAGAACAGGTCTGATTGTATCATATGTCGTGAAATTCTTTAATCTAACGTCAAATGTTAAGTACATTGACAAGTGTGACCAAGCTGTACCAGACCAAATTCATTGTCATATTTGAAAGTCATGTTACCGATATTCACGTCTGATTCTTATCTCATTAATTCCTTTTTCAAAAGCTACATGTGTAATATTTTACTGTTGGAGATCAATTTTAGAGACCTCATTTCTTGAAAGTGGTTCTTAATGTACGCATATTTTATAAATATTTACGAGTAAAGTGTTCTTTTGATCTGCTTGTTTTATCTTTAAACTTTTCAAATTTGTGAAAAAACGTGACACTAAAAAGTACTAGTGATATTCACGGGTAGCACATACGTTTTTAGACATAATGTATTTAAAATTCCATATTAATACACTTGTTACTATATATAGTAACAAAATTGCCTATGATTTCAACTGATTATGAGTGTCACGTGACCTATTATGAGTTTGCGGCCCGGGGCCGAGAACTAGTTATCAGCCCGCAGAACATGTGCACGTGCACAAACTGAAACAATGACGTCATATTTTACGTTATGAAACAGTTAACTGTATAAGTGAAAGTAGGTTGACAGCACATCGTATTTAGTACAAACACATTTTTGTTAGATCTACTGTTGAAATTTGAAGAAATAATAATACAAATTCAATCCGAAAAAAAATGAAAATAAAACTTGCTTCTTTGAACACACAAACAGTAAACATCTCCGTACAGAACACAAGAATTTCAACCAAAGAACTTCAAAGTAGATTTCTATTTGTTGTTGTTGTTGTTTTTTTTTTAAATGCTACTATTAGATCTACCAAGTGTATTAAAGACATTAATACACGTCAGAGTAGGGCCGGAAGGTGATAATCGGCCCTGAATGAATAATGGCCCTCGGGCTAAAGCCCTCGGGTCCATTATTCATTTTGCGGGCCGATTATCACCTTCCGGCCCTCTCCTGCCGTGTATTAACCTCTTAATATACGGTATGTAACACTGAAAGCAACATTCAGAAGATATTTTGAGCATAGGCAAAAGTCTATAATTCTATAATTTTAGAATCGAAAATTCAATATCATTTAGAACTCAAATCATTTATACTATTTGCTTTATATGATGCAAATTTGAACCGAATATGTCACAGTGTGCCATATTCGCGGCCCGTGACATACACGGTCCGACATAGCATCAACCCATAAACAATGTGTTTCATTTTGTTTTCATTTTCCTTAATTATGTTTCATTATCTAAAATTATAACTTTTTTCACTTCACTTTACTCGACATTATTTTTTTTTACTAAAAGTACTTTAATTGCTTTAAAATCTAACGTCACTAATAACAGTTTATTATTTACAACCTTTCTACTTCAATACAGACTCCATATTAATTTTTTATGTATATATTTCAATGTAAGAATTATTACCAGTAATCTTTTGTATCTGTGTGACGTCACAATAATGCAAGATTTCTTTCCACTATATTTTCTATTCGTGCGTGTCTTTCAGGACTTAAAATCTCAAAAGCTCACATCAGCTGGCTGGCTTTCATTTGTAAGTATGAATCTAAAAAAACAACATTTTATTTACGTGTTTGCTGATTTGATCTCAGTTACCTAATTTACATTCAAAATCATTATTTGCTTATGTGTAAAATAAAATTATATTATCTTTTTGGGAAAAAAAACAGACTGTTTACATGGTCCCCAATACAAGACATATTTGATTTTATTTCAATACTTTGTGTTTTCATCCGCTTAATGAAAATCTATTTAGTCCACTAGAAGAAAGTGAATGTTAATTGTCTCCTTTCGTATTGCTCACATCTTCCAATTTTTAAAATATTACTGCAATGCATTTTCCCCACTTTGAAAGGGCTGCATTGAAAAATAGAAATAAAATATATTTCTGCAAATGTATCGTCTGCTATGGCATTTCAATGATTTGTTGTATATACAGGAATGGGAAGATGACCGTATCAACTGGACACCTTCAGCCAAAGATGATATCGAGGAGATATTCTCTAAACCAGCTGATATCTGGAAACCAGAGCTCGTTGTTGATAACTCGTACGTGCACATTCATTTAAAATAACAGTCGTCTATAGATAATAAAAAATTGTTGTACATAACTCGTACCTTCACATTCATTAAAAAGAACAGTCTGAAATTTGTTGTGAATAACTCGTACGTACATGTACACATTCATTTAAAACATAAGCCTTTTAAAAAGTGGTTGTAGATAATTATTTAGTGCAAGATTCTCGTAAACAAGTCTTTAAATAAACAGAAGTCCAACATAAACTTGTCGTAGATAACATAAACGTACAAAATTATTCAAAACCATACAACAGTTTTACATCAACTTATAGATGTCTGGCGTGTGCAAATGTCATCTATAACAACAATCTTAAAAAATGTTATCGATGACTCGTTTAAAACATTTTTTTAAAAACTTGTTGTGGTCGTTCGTATGAAAATATGTTCCCATCCAATAGCTGCCCAAATGTAAATAATTGATCACATTTAAGAAATAGTTCACACTACTGTGGACATGCTAACATTTAAGGGCCTGATTGGTCAGTTGAAAGTGAAGGTCTATGCATTGCTAATGGTTGACAAGGAGGTTTCTACAATACTGCGAGGTTGAAAGTAGTGCCATTAAACCATTTTACGACATACAACGTAAACAGAAATTACATGTTTATACGAAGAAAAATAAAAAGCCTAAATAACATTAAAATGTACTGAAAATTAGCTGGAAGCCATTCTACTGACTGCCATGACACACGTAAAAAGTAGTTTTGTAAAAGCTATCGAGCGGTTATGCACCACTAAAATTTAAAAGAGTTCACTAACATTTTTATTCAAAACACTTACGTTATCCTGAATTTTATATCATTCAAATACCAATTGTCACTTACATAAGTAAGGAAGAAACACACATATATTTAGTAATAATTTACCATTTTAACTTATATTCTTTCCTCTCCAGGTTTGATGACGTTGGAGTAATTTCTAACTCGGACTTGTACCTGCGGGTAAAGAGCACAGGTGTTGTAGAATGGGAGCCACCAATGTCGTTTGTGACTCACTGCACAGTAAATATCTTTATTATCTTCTTGTATGACAACAATAACTTATCTGTTATGACTTATTTAAAATCACATATTTTCATCACGATAAGTGTTTTCTTTGTTTTTCCCTTTTATGTCACTGGCTGTCTAGAGGTTCGGAAACACTCGTGTCCGCCACTCGTGAAATATGATAATTTTCATATCACATAATGAAGATGTAACCTGTATTTATAGAATAAACTTGAATTTTCTGTTTTATTATATACGTTTCCCTTTTTGAAATTAATTTTTTTAAGACTTCTCCTGCAATTGTGTGTATGGCTAAATTAAGATGAAAGTAGTCCGGCAAGACACCACTAAAAATACGGAAAATATGTTTCACTGTAACCTCTATTTTCAGGTAGATATAACATATTATCCGTATGATAAACAGATATGTAGTGTAAACATTATTAGTTGGGGGTTCACGGCGCAGGAAGTAATGTTGGAACCAGCCGATACTCCTGTCAACTTAGATGACTTCGAGTAAGACATTTATAAAACATATTTACAATGCCTTTTTATAACAGTTGTCATAGTAACTTTACTTATGTGTGACGTCATTCTTCAACCAAATCTATTTTTATAACATTAAAACATATTTTAATATTTGCGAGTTAAATTTATTTGACGCCAAAATTAAGATAACCTGTTATTTAAAATTTCAACAGTAATCGTGATTTTCTGACGTCATAAATTATGTTTTTTCCGATCTTATTGAATGAAACTATTCCGCAGTCTTCACGCTAAAACTGCCAGCTATCGGTTAATGAACAGTTCGTTGTTTGCAGGACGCACGGGGAATGGGAGATATTATCCTCTAGGGCTGAAAAATTAAACGTGACAGAGTCGACAATAGATGGTGGCACTATAAGAGTTTTTCCCTATGTGGCTTTTTGGTTGAGGCTAAGTATGAAACAATCTCCATACTTCACATAGGTGGGCGGGATACAGCAGTTTAACATACATGGTTGTATGTTTTTATCATAGTCGGGCATAAACTATGTTCCAATGTACGACTACAGGCGTTCATTATGTTCAGTTATAGGTCAACAAACATACAGTTTGTACAGATAGGGGCGTACAGATCCTACGGACCCACGATAAGTTGGCCTAAAGATAAACAATATGTTCATACATTTTCCAACAAATGTTATAAATCATCACATATAGACACTATGTCTTCTAATACAATTCATTCCAGTATTACAAATCAATATGCTATTGTTCTTTTGTAAAATCACTTAATCAAAATAACGAAATATCATATATCTAAAGTAATGAGATCTAGATAAAGATTTAAAAGCACAATCCTTGCCTCAATGGAACGCCACTCCCATACATGTGTTACATAGTTGCAGCAGATACAAACCAAAAATATATAAATAATTATTACTATATGTATATACTGTACCTAGACATGAAAATTTGTAATTTCAGAACGTCGATCCAGCTTTTATAACTTGAACATTGTCATGCCTGTATTTGTGACGTCATTGCTTGTTGCACTCACGTTTATAGTTCCGCTTGAATCCGGAGAAAAATTGTCATACATTCTGACAGTGTTCCTTGCTCTTGCCGTTCTACTGACACTTGTAGCTGATTCACTGCCGTCAACGTCAATTTCGACGTCAGTGCTTGGTACGCTAGGCTTTAATTACATGAAACTTTCTTTTCAACAATTTAAGTATATGTATATTAACAGTTGTAATTCGTTTTTGGTACATTTATGTATAGTTTTTCAGTTAATGAATTTTACATTAGTTGCCTCCCTTGATGGATATTTATTCATACCAACATTAAATACTTGAACATAATACACCTTATAAGTGCTGAATGGGCGTCCGTGGCCGAGTGGTTAAGGTCGTTGACTTTAAACTACTTGCCTTTCACCGCTATAGGTTCGAATCCTGCCCTCGTAATTATATTAATATTTACTAGCAAAGGTTATTCCATTCCAGTGTCTGTTCTAGTTTCGTGTTTTCACACACATAACAATCTTGCCATTCGTCCAATCTTTACCTGTTTGTTTTTTTAATTCCAGGTTTGTATCTTGGTATAGTAACAGTGCTAGCAGCATTCGGAATTCTTCTGACAGTTCTCATTCTTCTGTTATATCATAAAGAAGGTCCGAGTAAGAAGTCACCGTCAGGTATCATGGGTATCACATATTTTGCGGCTATATGCACGTGCTCGGCGAAATCACTACGCAACAACAAAGTAACACCGATTAATGACAAGTTTGAGTCTGACGACGATGAAGCACCGGAATCAAGGACAGTGTATGAAGCTGATTGGAAAGAAATTGCAGTGATTTTAGATCGATTTTGTTTTATGATGTTTTCTATAATAACAATTGTGATGAACGTATCGTTCGTGATAACACTTACAGCGGGCGGGGCCTCATACGAACCTTCGGAATAATACAGGTCTATTGTTATCTAACTATGTTACATTTGTCATTTCTTCACTTTACATTGTCAGTATGAGTTGCGCAGTAAATTTCAAAAACATACATGTTAACTAATCAATGATTTGTGTTTTGTTGCAAACGCGCAATGGGTAAATTTGATTTTAATACATAGATTATTAAGATAAATTTAGATTGATTTTTTAAATAAACTATTCCTGATCATGAAAAAAGCACCAAGGAACAAAAACACGTAAGAATATAAAAAGATTTAACTATCAGAATTTTTTTGTCAGACATGGAACCTATTCTTCGTAATCATTTTCTGATAAAAAAAATTAAAATAAAATCGTCTTAGGCTTTCTCAATGTGTACAGTCACTAAATAAATATACTGCACAAAACATTTCTACTTAACATTTTTAGATTTCCTTAAAATCTAGCATGTTTGACAATTAGAGACGCGCAGCTCGAAATGTTTATTAAATATCCGCACAAATGCTTACATTCATTTAAAGTTCGAACCCTAACAGGGATTTAATTAAATCAGATTCTGCAGGCATTCAACTATAAAATGTTATTCATTTTCAAGTCTTGGATATAGATTTTTCCATTCTATACTGTACAGCTCTGATGAACATAATTTGAAATATAATTTAATCGGTTTATATTAATTGAAAAAGTTGTATATTTAGTTATTTTTTGTTGTGTTAAAAGTTAAAGTGTCCATACTATGAGTTTCGAATATAAAACGTGCAATTACCACCCGAGCTGTAGAACTAGGATATCGGTGTCTAAATATACTACATGTATCTGGCCATTTTCATTTGATGATTAAAATCCTTAGTCTGACAAGTAAACAGGAATAAACATGAAAGACATCCTATAAGTATTCCATATTTGCTTAGTAGACAAAGAATGGTTAACTAGGTCATGTATAATCTGCATGAACTTATCTGACTTGTGCATAATTCTTGTGTGTGATTTCCCTGTAACAGACTGCATGATCGATCACTTCTTTAAGCTATGTATGATTTCAAGTGACTAACGTTAAGTCAAATCATTTCTGGGTCACTAGTTGGATATATCAACTAACATGACATGTTTATTATACATTTGGTAATATTTTAGTACCATACTAACAAATTATAAACGCCGTTAACCTATCACTCGTTTCACCATATCATTACATCGGCTAATAAAACAGAACCGGTGTCTTTATTCATAAGGCTCTTTGTTTTTTCTTCTTGTTCATTTTTTTTTGTAAAACATAGGTTTCGTACAAGAAGTACTTCTGTTACTAAATATATAGACATCTAAAATAATTCGATAAAAGAGTCAAAACAAACGAAAAGTAAACATGGTTGTAATCATCCTTTGCAACAGAAAAAGACTACATACCAGAGCGGACGTCCGTTCATCATCAAACTCAACGAAAGTGCAGATGCAACGTCATAGAATCGATCCCGGGTCGCCGGATTCACAGTCAAACGCTTTACTTTTTGAGCTTACAAGAGTCAAACTAGACGCCCTTTAAGCTAAATAAAATATCAATAAGCTAAATTAAATTATATTTTTTTATTTGTTCAATTAATTCAGACTAGTGCAATTCGTGATTTATGGTCATTTATTTCCTAGCCATATAAAGTAAGATCATGATAGTTACAGGTATGTATTTTAAGCCTATATTTGTCACAATGTTGGTACATCATGTAAAACCACACGTCATGTATATATACAGCCTAGATGTGTTCAACTTACTACAGCCTCGTGTCCGCACATGACAACTAATGACCAATTAATGACCATTGTAATTACCCTAATAATGTCACTTACTTAACCTATTAATATTTTCCATTATTGATAGGTAGAAAAAATAATAATTATGCATAGTTTTTATACATCTGACTTGTTGACTAATTTTGCTTAACCACGTTTAAATCATCGGCAATGCTCGCCACAGATCGGAAAACGTTTGCGAATCAATTACGCGCGTTAACGTATTCTATATTTACGTATCGATACTGTTCCGTTACGTCGAATGATTGATATTATAGAATTATTATCAACAGTTGTATAAGGAATACGTTACTGAATAGAAGGTGAGTTCAAGTTTTTTTTTATAGATTTTATGTGACATTAACACAATTTTCATCATTCAATACGAAAAAGAAAAGAAAATTATACTTCAAAACTAGTTAGTTAACAACGTTAAAATAACCACTGTAACTTTATTACATTTTAAAATTATAATTAAGTATTGCACTTTTAAAGAATCAACATGACAATACAATTAAACATTACTCGAATATTTCGTTGTTTTATTTTGTTACTTGCTCGGAGTTAATGTTTTCCTTTTTTTAGATGAAAGGCTTCCCAGTGTCACATTATTATCTTTCGTATCAGATCATATTAATCTATATCTTAAGTTGTATCTATATCAAAATCTTTATCATTTTATACGGAAAAGATAAAGGAAAAATAAAATTTAAAATGTTATCATTTTTTGTTTTGTTTTTAAGTTATAAAGCAGAAAATGTTTGTGATGCAGAGAGGAACGGCACAATTTAGACGTATACACTGGCTTATAATTGGCTGCTTCCTTTTCAGGCTTTACGGTAAATTAATTGATTTTTAAACTAAGATTTTCTCTTGTACCGTTTTCCATTGTGGTTATTTAATCACAACAGGCTAGTTAAACAAACAAAAATCTTATAATTCAAAGAAATTTTAGATCATTTATTATACGTAGATAGCGCCTCCAGCTCTTGTTTAATTTCTGACTTATTTAATATTATTATCCAGGTGAATGGAAATTGATTTTCATAGATTCAGACTTTAAGATTAAATGTATTAAAGCGAAATGAATTCCCTACATAGTACAATTTTTAGAGTCTCACTGTGATTCCTAGTACATGTAGTCATCTGTAACTATTTTATTTACTTAATTTTTATGTAGATTTTTCTATAACATGTCTTGAATATTTTATCTCATTTGAATAGGATAGCTTTAAGACAATTTGACATACTTACCATATTATTTAATGATTACTTTCCGATATATTTTGGTGGATACTTGTCGAGTAGTCCTTTCACCCATCCACCTTACCGTTTCTCAACGTTTTTATTTAATGACTTATATCTCTATTGTCTTGGTACCCTTTCTTGGTTTGGTTTTCATGTCTATTGTGTGATGTTAAAAGCTAAAAGAATTATATTCTAATCCTTTAAAAAAAATAGCGAGACAATGCGTCTACAATTGTCAACTATTTGCTTTGTTTTCGTTGCTCACCAAAGGTCTTCCTTTTGTCATATAGGCAAAGAACATTCATCAGTGTTACATATATACATATTATCTTAGTTAAACTATTAATCTATCTCTAATTGCTAATTTATCATCCACAGAATGCGTAGAAATTAAAGTCAAACATGGTGACGAGGTTGTGTTCGAGCTACCAGAGATAAAATCTTGTGGTCAGTTTTCGTTCCTGAATCCATCTTTACGACCAGTGTTTGTTGTCGAGGGTAATACTACTACAAACCTAATCTCACCATACGACAAAAGGTAAGCACATGTATATTTTATTTTTCATGCTGTCGACTTACTGGTAAAGATTAGCATAAATATAATTATTTTGATGCTTTGCATAATCCTATCTGCAAGGATAGCACTCGCATACATCTGCATGAATAGGACTCGTATAATACAAATCTGGCACTAAACCTAATCTGACTAAAGTTCAGATCAACTTATGCTTATATCTGATTATCACCGTATTTGTTCCACCTTCTTTCTGATTCGGATTTCCCCGAGATAGCTATTTTTAGCCATGCAATCAAACCGTCCTTTAGGCATTCGACAGTGTATCAAAATATTGCTGTCCGTGAAAGTAAAACAAATTGCTGATTATTTATAGAAAAAAATGTTTGAAGTAATTTGAAACAAATAAACTCGAAATAGTATTCCCAATGTTTGATGGGCAAGATTGTTTTGCCAGTTTATCTGTCGGCTATATGGACAACGCCATGTTTGTTCTCGAAATCGTGAAAATTACCTACTCAGTATCTATAGTATCGGTTTTCCAGCAGTTGGAATTAGAAGACTGCATGGCTTTTAAAATTGTGAAAGCCAGCTGATGATTGGCTGTTTGAAAGGTCATGAGAAAGTGACCTCCTATTGAAGACCGTTAGATCCTAATGCTTAGCGTTAATTAGAAGCTGATTTTAATCAGATTGGCACAAAACCCAACCAAATTAACACACTTGTTGTGAACAGTAAGTCCTGAAAAAAACAAACATAATTTTGCTCGTAGCCATTAAGATATCAAAGTGGTTGTTATACATGCAAGTTATTTGATTCATTAGTTTTTTAGTATTCATTTAATGACCAATTTGTGTCATTTATGACTTCTCAATATTTTATATCTACTGTAACATATATATGCTGCATATATGTATAAAAATATTGTTGTTTTTGTTATCGTTAATGATTTTCTTTGTTTCACATACTCACATACTTTTTTTGGCAAATGACGTTTATTTATACAGCCATTGCGCATTTTTGTTTATATATAATGGACATAAAAACATTTGCATGACGGCAAACAACACTTGTTTGTGTTTATTTTTGACGTTATAAATAACTGTTTGGATAAAAATCATTTGTAAAATAAACAATTGATGCCTGTTGCAGGTTGCAAATTCAAGATAATATTTATACAGTCATAAGAATAACAAAAAAACATTGTCTCTAATTTCTTGAAAGTACCCATCAATTTGATAAGAATTCTAAAAATATATGGTATTGTATTGTTGATGTTGTGTGATATATAATATTATGATAAATGTATACAAAAATGACTGCAGATGACTTCGCATATCAGATACTTTCTATAAATTGTATGAATGCATCTAAGACTTGTGTTTTCCATTACGCCATAAATTGGTTAATTTTACAATTTCTTTATTTCTATTTATATCACAGGGCTAGCGTTATAAAGACAGATAATGGTTTCAAACTTACAATTTCCCACTCGACTGACAGTGATGCGGGTACCTACAAAGTTGCTACGTCATCTGTGACGTTATCCCCACCCTGCTTGGCTGAATCATTCTACGTTACTGTGCTTGGTTAGTTTGTATATTATATTGTATTTAAATGTATATAAAGCTATCATCAACAATTACTTGTGAAAATACACATAACTAACTGATTGAATCGCATTTTAAATTATGCACCAATATTTTTATATTCATCTATTTTTAAACATGATGACTTTTCATTTAAATAATAAACATAGTGAAAATTGTTTTCAAATAATTATCAATGCTTGGTATTTTGAGAGAATTTGCTTCAAGTCAATCTTCTTTAAGTTTTAAAAATCTATTAATATCATGTATGGTAATTATTATCAGAAGCCACGGACGTTCACATGGAGCCATGGGAAACGTGGTCCTTCTGTATCAGTCAGTGTAGCCCTAACAGACACAGGTCAAGGTCACGACAATGTAGCGTTAAAGGGTCGTGCACAGATATAGGACCAATGTTTCAGACGGAAACTTGTGACAAAGCCGCGCATTGCCCAAGTAAGTATAGTAAATCAGGACATTAACTATGTATGTTGGTACTGATGTGAGTAGATCTACATGTATGTAAAATACAAAAAGCACAGATTTGTTCGCATAACATTATCATGTGGCCAAAATCACGTGACCGCTTATTGTGCAGCAACTAAAAATCCTGCAGAGAAAACTGAAGTGACGGACAGAGTTGAATACACTCGCAATTAGCTCTCCATTTTTCTTTCTCAGAAAGTCTTTACATGAACTATAAAATGAATATTTTCTGCCTAAGTAACCCTTTGCCCGTGTAGTATATTTTACTTAAGTTTCGTTTTTATTTTAAATTATGTTTTTTAGATATTTTCTAAAGGATATATTTATTTGTTTGTCTTTTCGGCTGAAGTTTTACATATTTTAGTGATATCTCGATGGGCGGTTCACCAAACCGACTTTTCCTAGATAACTAGAGAAATATCCAACATGTTGTAACAATTATGTGTGATAGTTATGCATTTAATTTAATTTGTTATTTTTGCACTCCTTTAGAATGGTCAAGTTGGGGAAGTTGGGGCTCTTGTAGTGCCAAGTGTGGGAAAGGATTCAAGATCAGAAAAAGGGCGTGTCTCAGCGGCAACTCCTCCCTCGTCAAGAGTTCTGAATGCCGTGGAATATCAACGCAGTCTCACATGTGCCTTACCGTCTGTGAATGTGAGTTCAGTTTACTATTTTCTTCTAAAATTAAAACCATATATAACTTTCCTTATAACATTCAAGTAATTATATAAGTTAAAAGTCTGTAATTATATTTCTTATGAGAAATTTTCTTCATATTGCAATAGTAGAATATTTTAACATGTCAGTCATCTGATTAAACTTCGTTAGAATGTTATTAAAACATTGATACATTTTTCAGTAGTTGGAACATGGACGCATTGGTCCGAATGGTCCAATTGTTCACAGTCATGTGATCAGGATTCAACATCACGTGGTACAAGAGCGCGCAATAGATCGTGTTCAACAGATAGTGGACAGCATGTTGTGGCCCAAAACTGTACAGGAAACCGTACGGAGGAAGAATTCTGTAATACAAATTGTATAGGTACGGTAAATTACATAAGCATTCATTGTTATAAGATTCAAGCACTAAGAATAATTTAATACGTGAAACTACTGTTGTAATTCATAATATTGCATACATTAACAATATTTAAAGTTTACATATTACATTTCCGGATCTGAACTTAAATAGGATATGACAAAATCAAACCAATTTTGAAAATGTTACCAGAACTTATGAAATTCTTCCAAAATTATGATCTAAAATCATAAATAAAATGAATTAATTCAAGTTCCTCGTGATTTCTTCACTTGCATAAGTTCTTACCTGTTAAAGTTTTGTAAAACTTAGCTTCAGCATCTTTTTATTTAAATAATGTAAAATGGTTTTATGTTTTTCAGTATCTACACCATCTGAGAACATCACTGAAACTGTACATGTACAAGGTGTTACAGACGACACTACAGAAACAGCGTTCAGTATTATACCTGTGATAGCTGGTGCCGCGTGTGCTCTAATCATAATTATAATCCTCGTCATCGTTTTAGTACTGAAAACTCGAGTACAGAGGAGAAGGGGCAGTGTTCCTACCCTCAGACCTGGTAAATATTTTTTATTTTGAGATGATGTGAAGTTAAAAACATACATAACACTGGTTTTACAAATATTTCAAAACAAAACCACGGAGTAATGCATGTGATATATAACATTTCTTTGCTACAAACAATTCATCTGTCCTGTATTTTGAATATTTCCGGTAAAAATAATGACGAGCCCCACTGCATAGAGTTAAAATTTACACAAAAGTTTTTTTTTATATCATGAAAGATTAAAAGTTATCAAATGCCTTACATTGTATCGGACAAATTTAGATTAACGTGTAATTTAACATAACTGTACATGATTTCGTTACGTTCTCGAAGGCTGAAGCGTTTTATGATAAGAGATTTTTTATTTTAATTCAATAGATCTATACTGTTTTTTTAATAGCCGATGCAGCACATAACAGAAGGAAGAAACTGTCTAAGGAACGCAGGTCAGAAACACCACGTGATGTTGTCGAAACCGAAAGCGGAAATGTATATTCGGAACTTAATTCAAGTTTCCAATATCCATCATCAGAATTTGATTCAGTATTTTCTATAGACAATGCTGGATTCACAAAGTCGTCTGCTGTAAATATTATGGAGACAATAAGAGATGAAGACGCTGATGACGTGTCAGACGGCTATGACAGCGAGTTTGATGATAACCCAGAAGTAACAGGCACGTTTTACAATTAACTACACATAAAATCAAACCAAGCTTAAACATGTTTTTATGCGCAACATTAAAAATGAATTGAAATAATTTTTAAGTTTTTTTTTATATCTTACCTTAGTTACCGATCTATATTTGAAGAATTCTAAAGAGATGGTCACTTGAGCCCGTTTAATTTCAATATGTTTGAATCTACTTTAAAAGGGCATAAGAAAAATGCAATATCTCTCCCGACACTAGCTCTGGCTTACAAAGAATTCAGTTTTCAAACTAAAAGTATACGAATTGAATAAATAAGATCATTGATATAAGTAAATTCAAATAGTGTAATTTTAGTAAAAGTATTTACCTAACTTCAAGTCTAATGTTACAGGACGTGAAACAATTTGTGAAAGGAAAGAGATTATCTATGAGAAATCCAGAGCGTCGTGTCAAAGAGTAAGTTCCAAAGAAGAAAGAAAATACAGTGAGGATTCAGAAGATTTTGTTGTCACTGAAAATGAATGTTACGAGCCTCCGGAACTTTGGAGTAACGATGACGTCAGGCATAGCTTTGGAACAAATGCATCCCAGAATGACGTAACAAGTGCGGTTGAGATAGAAAGCATATATTATGAACCACCAGTTGAGAATGAAGAAGACGACGCTAGCAGACGCGCTGAATTGAAGAGACAAGAAAGCGAAATGACTAATGAGTCAATTTATGAAAATTGTGAAGCTAAACGAGGTACAATTAAAACAGCAAACCAACAGCAATGTGATGACCAAGATGACTATTATGAAATCCCCGATAACCGCCAAGTTGTTGATGCACCTGAAACAGACTCAAACAATGAAACTGACACTCCAAACGTGACGCAGGTCAGAATGAGAAACGGAAGTATTGTAACCATAGATGAACGTTTCCCTCATCTCTCTAAAGAAGATCTAGACAGTGATCATACTTATGTTAATGAAAAAGTGAACAGTGACGCTAGAGATTATTATGTGACACCAAAATATACATATGGAACAGCGGTTACAAAGAAGAAAGTACATGGCAAAGAGCACATTTATGACATTCCAAAATTTGACAAGTAGTTTTAATTTCATACATTACTTTTGATAAAAAAACACGAGTCGTAAATTGACCTTTATATGGAATATACTATGCTTGAATATTGGTAAAAAGTTACGAAGTTTCTAAATATGCTAAATTACTGGATACGTAAAGATACAGTTATATATATATCCATTAGGTGACCATTTATGGTATCTGTGGATACATGGGCAATAAATGGTACATTGTATATGTTAATATTAGTACACACCGTTCATTGTTCTTTTGCAAGTGCTACATTATAATTATTATGATATCGCATGGTGAGTGTTACATCAGTTTTATATGACTTAAACATATATCGTTTTCGTAATTGACACATTATAGTACAGTGACGTATATTGAATATCCTTGACTATTTGATGTGTTAATTTAATTGTTTATTTTTTTCTTTATTGTTAAGTTTATATAATTATAAATGTACATATATGCTAGATATTTTTAAAATAAAGTTGATGATTATACTGTTTTCCCTACAAATTAAATACATTATAAATACATGTATATTACACAATATATTAGGAGGATTTGTGGAAACATGCACAGAGAAACAAGTCGTCATTATAATCCAACTAAAAAAAGCATGAATAAAACTGTTCTTTCTAGATAATAGTTTCAAAGATTTACTGCATATATCAAACTTCTGGTTCTAAATAAAACCAATATTGATAAAAAAACATACTAATTGTGAGGCTTTCTAGGTTTGTTTATAAACAGAGCGTCTTATTAAAACAACACTCATTATTCTAGAGTTGCTTAATTTATGAGCAAGCGCAAAAACTTGGTAACGAAAAAAATATCACATACATTAAACATATAGATTTTACATGCTGTAAATCAAAATTATAATTGTAAGACGGAGACAATAGTACAATATTTTAACTGCTGTTTTATAATAATTAAATTTGGCAAAAATATATTTGTACATAAACTATGTATATATAATTTGTCAATCTGGACGGATTGCGTGATAATGTGTGTGAAAATGAATATATATAAATTGCTAAACTCGCAGACATTGGTAATGTTCATCATACCCCGTTGCTGAAATCAGCTGCGTGGTTTTAGCCATAAAGTTAGTATATATAGTAAGGATGTTAGATAGATAATAATTTAGTCAGACTAAACAATTACAAATGTATGACAATTTACCCAGATTTATTTTTATGTAAAAATTCCCTCTTGGAAACATTAATCACAACAAAATTACATGAAAATTGCAGACGCTGTTTGATTGAGTCTGTACATGTGGGATAATAAAAAAGTGCTACATTCCTCATGCCCACTAGCACCGGCTTGAGTTGTACTTAAAAGTGTTGGATACAAAGCCATGTTACTTCCTAAAGACTAAATCTAACTTTGTATTTCATTTGTAAATATGTCAATAAACAACAAATATGGTATATACTAAATATATATATCATTTTGTGTGTGTAAGATCTATTAATAACATTTTTTTCTCTCAAATATTTATAAATCCATAATATAGAGAAATCTGTCATGACATGTATGCTTTTAAGTGCTAAGCATAGCATATTTAGCAAAATATTATACATGAAGGGGAGACAACAATAGCATACAGTATATTAAATTAAATTTTGCAGTAGTATGCCCTGTAATGGTAGGTAAATTAATAGAACAGATAATAGAAATATTATTTTTTTTACTAATTTCATGTATAAAGAACTGTATTATTTGACACTTGAAAATTATAAGAGTAAAAAACATCAGGTGCCTTATTGGTTTCGTTGTCCATGTTTAAATTGACACAGGTCTTACAATTAATCACTTGTTATTTTAAGTAGCATGCATGCCAACTGATTCATGATAATTTTCATGAAAATTTTGAAAATAAATTTAAAAGTAAGATAATGTGAAATGAACAAAGAAGGTAATTTACACAGTGCAAAAATAGCCCTTACTGCGTTGGTCACGCATTAGAAATATGGTAAAAAATATGGCAAAATAATAATAATATGTAAATCATTACTTAAAATGTGAATATTTTTAATTTTTCTAAAAATCTTAGTACATTTTTGCTCAAAGTTGAATTAAGTGATTTTTTTTGGCTCATTTGGAGGCATGCAGCTTTAATGAAATGTTCAAATTAATGGCGAAAATTTAAAACTATTAAAACAATAAAACTGCTGTTAGCTTAAATTACAAATGTTAGGACCTGCACATTGGTTAAAGCTCATACCATTTTACAATTGTCCTGTGCAATGTTTTAAATATTTTAATCAGAATTACTTATTTATAATATTGTCAGAATGTAACAGAATGTATACTGTTGAATCTCTCTTCAAATACCAAATCGAAACATTGTTTGAAAACATATAGACTTTTACTTTTTTGCTGCGAAAACAGACAGTCCGTTTATTGCGATTGGGGTATAGCTTCTATAAATTTTCTACAGACTGAGGTTACTTCTATAATGTTTTGGTTGAAAATTACCGGGATTCCGGTACGCCTAGGATCGTATGAAACATAAAGGGAAAGAATAAACTGCTTTTAGTTTGAGATTCGTCGCAAGTTGGCGAAATGTGCCGAAGATTCACGAATTCAATCTCGGCTTGCTTCGTTTATGTTTTGAAATATAAACTCATTAATTGATTCTTTCTTCTCCTTCTCAAACGATGATGATATATAGATTATATAATGTTGTAGGAGTAGAAAAATAAACCAGAAGCAAGATGTCGCCAAAATCGTTGATAATGTGTGTCGCACATTAACAGACATAATGAAATACAAAAGATGTGTTGTACAAACGATTTGCAAAATACAAAAATAAAATGATGAATCCATAATAATTATATTGTGAATTAGGTCGTTTAATAATAAAAACTCAAAATTCTTAGTAAAATCAAAACAAGATTTTATAGCTAGTGATAAATTTTGTTCCCTGAACTTGCACATTTATCAACATCAATCCATAAATAAAGACAGTCAGAGCAAAGGTTTCAAATCTATTTTGCTAAGTGACTTTAGCCTAAATACTATTTCCTCCACTCAAAGTTACAGGGCAGCTAATGATATTTACCTACAAAATATAAAAGACATAAAGCAAAAGTATAAAAATATATTGCAAGCAAGCAAAAGTATAAAAATATATTGCAAGCAAGCAAAAGTGCAAGCATTAGTGACCTTGACTCATACAAATCTCAACAAATATGAAAGACACCGGTCAATGTTAAAAAAGGCTATATAAGCAAAAGTGTAATAAGCATTTTTAAATAATGATAAAAAACAAGAGGGTCATGATGGCCCTTATATCGCTCACCTGATTATTATGACTTAATTCATTGTTAATTATGAATGAAAAGAAGATAATGTTTTAATCTTAAACTGATATCACAACATACATATCTGCACCTTTAAACAAAATTGTTCCATATTTGTGCTCTGTAAACTCCCCAGTATTGCTGATGTTGCTGACTGTCCAATGCGGCCTTCCTTAGATCATCAGATATATGGCTTGTTTATTGCTACATGCTAATTGTGAAAACCCTTTTTTGTATCCCTTCTTGTTTTTGTCATCCACGGTAAGTATCACCCATTTCCTCTAGTGTTTTTGCCCCTCCCTTTCTCTTACCCATTCCGATATATCCTTATTTCTTTTTTGGCTTTTTTATTAATTGTCTTCTAAAATATTCCTTGTCGGGTTCTATGATTTCCAATGTTGAATTATTTGGAATTACTACCCGCCCGTGCTTTGCCCCCTCCTGAACTTGTTTGATGTCATGTTAGGCCCCTAGCCAGTCGTCCGGTGTTGCTGGGTGTGATAATGGGGATGCGTTCATTGAGTGCCGCCCTTCCTTGTTTTTTTTCCATGTATTATTTTACTTTTTAAAATATAAGAACAAAGGCCAACAAGGGACACCAACTTTTACGAAACTCATCCCTTAGATATTCAGAAGCAACGACACCCAATTGGGCACCGACGAAGCAAGACAGAAGACGATCAAAGTTTTAAACTGCCCATCATAGTCTTTTAAAGACGTCTGCGCGACATTTTCCTCTAGTCAGCACAAGGCGTTCCGAGAATAAGTCAATATAACTCCCAAGATTTTTAAAAAGACTACAGCATGTTTCTGCAGATTTCTGTTTACTGAGTAGTGCTACTTGTTGACTCAGAAATAAAGATTCAAGATCGTATTTTAAATTGTTGCTTTGATCATTCATCATTTGTACTTCGTTATGGGGAATAGTTTTTCTCTTTTATATCGAAAAAAATATATAACATTAGCCCAATTGTTATTACAAGATTACCATTTCAATGTACATAGTCAGTTGATCACTCAATTCAACATTTATACCATTTGCCATATGCTTGTATTTATTAGACCAATACCTGGTCCTGCTTATCAGAGGTTCCTGTCCTCTTAACACGGAACTCGGATATTTCAAATGTTAAATGTAGACAAATCAGCTCCAACATTGTTAGCGTTACAGAGCGACAAAGTCAAATCTAGGCAACTGTCGTAATTTTTTACATTGCTGCCATTTATCTTAATTACATGATTGTTCAATAGTTAATTAATCTGTATGCTAAGTAATGCAAAAGTTCAAATGTTACAAGGTAAAAAATCGAAGCTGACGCCTGACGTTCTTCTGAAGTTAAGCTGTCTCCTCCGATTCGAGCATTTTGTAAGTTTGCCCAAGGCTATTGTTGTCATTGCTTCCAAGAAATCTGCCTTTTTGAAGATTTTTAAACATGCAACAGCAGGTGTCAAGTGCTATGTGGCAGATGTTATAATATTGCTAACTCTTTATTTAAGTGTTGTTATATATTTTCTGGTCGTACGGAATCATTTATTCCAATACATTTAGTGTTGAGGGTAGAATACCGAGGATGATCCGCAAGGAAAGGTGCTTTTGCAACGGGCAGGAGATATCTCTCATCAAATCCACCAATGAAAGGAATGTCTACGAACGCAACATATATCAATATCCAGCAACACAGGACCACCAGAAAAGGGAACAACAGGACTCGGTCTGCAAACCGAATCAGTAATTCTCACCTTTAAAGCTCATCTGAGGAAAATAAGTACTCGTAAAGGTCCAAAACGGAAAAATTGAAAATGTTGCAGACTCGGTTTGATGAGTCAGTTCTCAAGTGCAAATGACCGTCCACGCCCCCTAGCACCGGCTTAAGCAAAATACAACATTTAAACATGAAATGGCAAAATTTTGAATTTAGAAACATCCGCAGATGTGTTCAAACGGCGTAAACCTTGTAATGGGCTATATTATTATAGTGTTTGGTGCGGTATGACCAGTAATGTATCAGTTCGCCGTTAAACCCAAACAATAAAACAAGCATACAAGGTCACAGTGACATTTGATTCGAAATCTTTCGGAGTTCTGCCAGTCAAAGGTTTAATAAAGTTTATTATTTATTACTTATGATAAAATACAAACTTATCAATATAACACTTGACCTTTGTGAAATATGTATAACAAAGTAAATATGCCACTGTGAAAGGCAAATTTAGTGAGAGACATATCTACTTGAATTGTACGTGCTTTGTTGAATGATATGATATTACACGTAATTAAGTTAATAAAACACTTTTGTGATTTATATAACGACGCATCTGAATTTCAAACAGCGCAAAGCCCCACATTTGAAATATACTTCGGCGTCAAATTTTCAGAATTTGCTACCGTTGGTTTCATGTTATCTTTTTTTATCTAATTATAAGGACAACAACAACAACAACTAGAGCCAATGTAATTGATATCCCATTTTATTCCATTACTCGGCAACATTTGTAATATAATCGTGATGGTAGACTGTATACAATTATATACAACAATAAATAAATACTTCAGATTTTTGGCATATACTATGAATGATATACAAGTGTAGTGATGTACACTCTGGTGAAATCATCTTTTATACAGGCAACACATTCACAAAATCACATTTCGTTTTTTAAAATGGAATAAATATCTGACATATATGTGTGAAATGGGGGAAAAAGGATTTGGGGGACAAACAGTAATAGTAATAAAACAAATCATAGCAGAAACAGATTAAACAAATTGCGAACAATTTCAAATATAAGTAAGCTAATAAGCGATACAAAAATGGGACTTCTTTAGAATTTAAAAAAAAGTTATAAATAAATAAATAATATTAACATCAACTAAAAGTGAAATAATATCCGTCAATAAAGAGACAAAAAATTTTTAATAAACATTTTGGTGATACAAATAATACTAACTTCATGTATCTGAACAGGATGTGCTTAGAGCATTGTGAATACTGTTACTGAAAAATATGATACAGAATAACATGTAAAACTTGTAGGTGAAGTACATATAACATATCTGTGTACATGTTGTATATTACATTTGTATAAACAAATCATATGTGATCTTTCAATATGCTCTTTGACGATTACAACCCTATCTAAAAACTTATATTTAGGTCAAAGCGGTGTGGGCGGCTCCATATTATCAAACTGTACTATAATATTCAAGGTTAAGGTTTTGACGAATAACATATTAAATAAGGGGTACTCAATCTAAATAAGTACATTATCATTTAATATTTACATCAGTTTTAAGTGTCCGTGCAACGGAAACAATGTTAAATCTATTTTAGACTTGTAATATCCGATTAAAAGGTAAAGCTAAGAACAACAGTAAAACAACCCTTGTCTACAAGGTTTTATAAATTTATAACTTTTAAGCTTGGACCAAATTTTGAAAATCTGTTAACAAGTCCCCTGCGAGTTTTCATAGCAACTAGAACAAATAACACATTGCACTACCCGAGTAAATACAAATTGTAACAAGACAAATAGTAAAAGACAAAAATAACGGTTAGAATAAATATATTTTTTATATTTGAAAATGTCAGACAAAATAAGAAAGAAAAGAAAATGTTTTTACTATATACATGTACATAAAAGTACTAAAACATGACCATTAAAAAGTTTGGGAAATAAACACTTTCATCTGTATAGGCCAGATGGAAGGAAGTTTTAAATATTGCACATCGCTAGGTATGTTCATTTTGTAATATTGCACAATTATGTATATATTTTAATCTTAATTGGGATTCAATTCAACAACAATAAAGTGTTTAAACTATAATTGAAATTTAACGCTTATTTTGTCAAATTTCGAAGTTCAGTGAACTTGGCTTGGTTTACCTTCATACGGATGGTAATATACATGTACATTAAATGAAAACACCGTACACGAGTTTGAAAATTGATTTTTAAATAATGTAAAATTTTAATCATTAAGAGAAAGTTTGCTTAATATTCGATATTCGCTCTCTGGAAAGTAAAATGTAGAAATTTCTTGTAAAAAAAACTATGAAATTATTCCATTATGTATTACGATTCAAACATGTACAACACGTGTATAAAGTGTAAAGTCTGGTAATAAGGAATTAATAATATCCACTGTTGTTTCAGTTAAATCTGGTCTGTTAAGTTTTTACTCAATTGTAAATAACCCATTTGTTCAATAAAAATTATAAAGTTTTAACCAAGAATATTTGACACTTATGGGGAAGTTTTTCTTATATGACTTTTGTAATTTTATTTATAATAAAACACTATCAAAATCGTTTATAATAACAAAACAACATGATTATGCAATCATATATATATTTTACAGTCGGATTCAAAGGTAAGTGTTAATACTAATAACAATTCACGAGATCAAACATGAAGTTCACGAAAATGATGAGTGTCGAAATAACAAACGTGCAAAGGTAAAATGTGAAAAAGTCAGAATGACATACCAAATAACCCAATTAGTTTAAAAAAACACTGTTGAACAGTCTATTTTTTGTTAATATATCAAATCTGAAGTTTGAAATTACCCTTAGCTTTGTCAATTTAACTATCAAAATTCCCCACTTTGTCAATTTGACTATTGAAATTCTCCTGTTTGTCAATTTAGCTATAAAATTCCCCATTTTGTCAATTTAAAAATTAAAATTCCCCATTTTGTCAATTCGACTATTAAAATTTCCCATTTTGTCAATTTAACTATCAAAATTCCCCACTTTGTCAATTTAACTATTAACTTTTTCCACTTTGTCAATTTAACTATTAAAATTCCCCAATTTGTCAATTTAACTATTAAATTTCCCAATTTGTAAATTTGATTGTTAAAATTCCCCATTCAGATTTGTCAAAGTAAGCGTATTAATTTAGAATAAAAAATGTTCATGTTAACGCACTCAACAATAAAAAGATCAATAAAATGTTTAATATCACTATGTGAAGTTTTAAAATTCTAAAATATAATAATGCTAATCACAAATTCATAAAACAAACAAGGTTTAAAATGACAAAAACAAATACATTAAAATATATAAGTAAAATATAGACATCTATAATGTTTCAAACATCATAAAATTGTAAACTCTTAATTCAAACAAAACAGAACAATTGTCAAACAAACGAAAACACGTCATTCTTAAAACAAACAATGATTAATTTAGCCTTTGGATTTTGGCACCGTTGTGTGATATAGGCACATTGTATAATGAACATAGTGGCATATGCACTTACGTTAAGACAATATGAATATATACTTAAATGATTGTAAATTTTAATGGAAAAAAGAACAAAAAAAAAAAAAAAAAAAAAAAAAGAAACAAACAAAAATGTCTTATTATTTTTATATAATTTCTTACCAGAATTTAAGTTCCTACGTCTAATCGGACAAAAAAGGACTCTCTAATTGAAAAATTTGTTTCTGGAAATGTTGTCAAAGATAAATGATGTAAAACTAAAACTATTTCAAAGTAATTAAATGTGTAGAATGCACTTTATAGATATATGCATATCTTTCTAGTGTAAACATGCATATGTGTACAATTTGTGCATAGTTCAACTACGGTAATTAAAAAATGATGCTATGTGATAAATCGATAAAATGTAATGAAAGGCATATTGAGTTTCGTGTGTAAACAGCTTTGCTGCGTTTTATCTCCACACATATACATGTTCTGTAAATTTATGCCTTATAAACAATAACCATCTAAATTTTGAATTAAATATATGGGCTTAAAATGATGCATGAATTGAAATATCCGACGATTCGACGCAAAAAAGTGATGACTCGTCCGATATTCAAATGAGAGGTGTCAAAGAAATTGTCGCAAAGTGCATGTGACAACTTATAAAGTGATTATAATTATGTTTAAAATGACGTAATAGGGAACCGACGAAGACCAATCAGCGTCACTTTTCTTTTGTCGGTGTCATCTGCCTTTTTCCTACACAACAGTTCCTCCCATAAAAATCAACATTGTACTTACAAATAGACTGTTAATATAAAAACAAAGATCATTTGTGTAATAATACAGTGAATAGTTGTCTTGAATCTATCACAAATACTGGTGTAAAAATCAAACAAGATTTGTAGCAATCAGATCAACACATGAGAACTGACGGCGCATCTGTTCAAGTAAATGTGGAAAAAGATAAGTATCTGTTAGAATACAGTCTACAAAACTGGAAGATATGTGTACTTGATTTGTTGCGCTTATCTTAAACATATTTAATTAGGAAATTGTTAATGTGTTTATAAATCAATAAAATATGTATAAACAGGTACACCTCTTGTTTTGTTTAACTATAAGATTTTGATCAATATGTAATTCTACAGTAATTAAAGTTTTGCATAGAAATATGGTGCAATGTTATTCTCCTTGTTTGTGCTTGAACTGACATGCACGTGCTAAAATCTGACGTGCACTTGGTTAATTATCTCGTAGTCGTGCTAAAATCTGACGTACACGTGTTTACACTTTGAACGTTTTCACTTCGTAACTGGACAAAGACATATATTAGGCTCAAAATGAGTGAAATGTTTTTGACAGTTGATGGTATTCTACAAAACATGCACTTTTATTTACAGAGATTAATAAGTGAAATTGAATGGATAACTTTTATAACTGATTTTATATTATTTCAATAAATGATGTCACGTGATATTGAAACATGTTAACATATTGTTACAATTTTGATTTCTGCGCTATACTTATATTTATAAATATATTTGGTCTGAACAATTCATTGTCTTAGAACACTTTAGTGATTTTGAAGCGTAAATAAAAGTCAAGCCTGGAACCATAACGTATATTGTAAATGGGAACCATTGTATATGTTGTAATTTTAACTAAATGTTTTCTAGTTACCGTTATAACATAACACATTTTCTGTAAATAAGTGTAACTTGCTAATTTCTTTATTCATTCAACACAAGTTTGGATATTTAATCTTACGTTTTAGCTTGGTAATAGAAAATTGAAACAGTAAGTAAATGAAAGACCTTGACCATTCTTCGCATCAGCTAATAACGTCAAGATTTATAAAATCTAAGTTTTGTGGCCGAGACTACAGTCCAGTTTGTAACTAGGTTGCTTCAGTGCCTGTCAAGGTGGAAATGCCAGGCAGATCTCATTACTAGTAACCTCTGTTAAGGAATGCTGGGACTCGGGCGCTTTATATCGATGTTTCAATATGTAATACTAATTCAACCTTGACTTCAGTAACTTTTGTTTGATATGCCGTAAGACATCTCTGATCTGTTTTATCATTCACACACAGCTCAATACTCTGTCTGTAAGGCATGTTATTTCTGCGAGATGGACACCATATGACTCTGACTTAGTAATAAATACAAGAACTCAGAGAAAAAGGTCAGTCATACTTTAGTCTTCCGATAACTTGTGTGTCTGTCATGTATTCTTCACGCTGTTCCATCCGAACCTCTGGAATTTTGCAATCAACCGGAAGTAACTAACCGGAAGAAGATGTCGTACTGGAAGCTGATTTCCTATAGTCAGACGTCCTCTGCAGCCTCGTCAAACTCATTTCCTAGAGAGTTATTTCTTATCTGCGCAGCCTTTTTAGTTCTATACATATCCCATAATCCTGCTAAAATTTCTGCTACGACTATGTCACTAGAATTTTTACCAACAAGTCTTAAAGTAAAAACACCATCGTGTCTCAGATATTCCATTGTGAATCTATTGGCAAGTTTCTTTTCCGGACCGGATCCTATACGGTCCATAACGCGCAGGAATTTGCGCACATATTGCATCCGGGCAGTTGGAAAGACAGTGTACCAAATCCAATTGGCTAGACTGTAACACGACATTATGGAACAGAAGACAAACCTGTAAGAGAAAATAAAGTAACTGTAATAAATTAATGAATATTTAGTTAAGCTTGTCCAATTTAAATAGAGCATGGTATCAATCGTTACTTTTGGTTCGAATCCCATCAAAAATTTTGATATGTCCATGTCTATCCAATTCGAAGCTTGCAGAAGGTCAGTGGTTTGATCAAAGGCATGTGCTAGAAATATTACGCACAGTAATATCTGGAGTGTTCTTCATGTAAAGTCGCCTTATGAACTCAATATTTACGACATGATTTTGAAACAAAAACCAAATATTAAAGAGATGTTACAAATTTTATGTTAGTCTTAGCTATTGTTTTATATTAAACGTAAAAAAAACTATATTTACATACCAAAACCATAGAAAAATGTATATCTTTTCTGAGAACAAGTTTATAGGAAGAACACATTGTACGGTATATCTATGTAGATTGTTGAACTGCCTGATTTGAAAATCACAGAGTGTCACACGTGGAAATCTATGACTTGCTGTCCAGTCTTCCTTCCCATTTATCAAGTCTTCCAGTACTTGAAATCCAAATAAATTAAATTCTTGGCCTAAAAATTCATTGAGCAAAAATAACTGGCCTATGGCATTTGATATATACAATATTTTGGTAAGAAAATATACTCCGACTAAATAGTTCCCATATCTCTTTCCACATAATATGGATAACTTTGCAGAAAGAAAATGGCGAAGGGATACACAACACGTGGATCTACTTTCTCTTTGATTGTCTAAGCAGCGGTCTAAATGCCGCACCACATACTTAATAGTCCGGATTCTATTTTCCGGAGATTCATACTGTGCATCGCTAGCAAGGGAGACAATTCTGTCAACGTTTATTCCGGACTGTCCATTCAACAACCTCCAAATTATGCACGGCAAGTAAAAAAGAAGTGCTTGTACAAGTAACATCACAGGTATCCATTGATAATAGTTCAGTTCTTTTCCTTCTTTTTCGTGAACATTTAAAGGAATAGGGTCCTCTATATGTACATAGTATGTGTTTGAGATCCAGCATATGTTGTTCGCATAGTCCACATGTGTTCCCGGAAACTCGGCCGGACACCAGCATCTGTAAAATACACACATATGTTTATATTTTGTTTTATTGCAAGGAAAGAGTTAAGCCTACATAAAGTATTTATATATTTCAAGCTTCTTTTGAAAATTTTAACTACAGCGTGTAAGTGATATTTTATCGTCACTGAAGATGTTTATAAATCTAATGGCAAGCTAATTATAAATTTAAAATTCTTGTAAAGTGCTTCTTATTTGAAGGAACATAACTAGGAACCATTTTGTACCGTGTTGGCAACGCAGGGACACTGTATTTCCTAATAAGCATTAAATACAAGGAGATATAGCAAATTGTATTCAATGTTTAACACCAAATATCGCCTTCATGTATAGTACATTATTTATATAGTTCGCCATTACATAGTATAAGAATTGAGCATCACATATTTTCATATTGAAGCTAACCTTTTTGTGTTTCAATCATGTTTCACATTGAAATTTGTATATCACACTAGCTTACAAGAAATTTGGCAAAACAAATATGTTTAAACATAAATCAAGACGATCATGCAATTTCGGACCTCAAATTGATGAAAGCGATAATCTTTGGACTAAAGTGTTTGGCACCATTACCAATTAGTCCAAGAAAACAATTAGTGACTTCTGCTCCTTTCCACATCCAGCTAAAACACGCTTAAGCTTAACGAGTTATCAACTGACATAATTTATCAACATTTTGTGTACAAACTGTTATACCCCTTTAATGGGGAAATTGATATTTTACTCTATTGTAGCAATGCATGAACGTACCTTATAGGATCGCCGACGTATTGTCTAGCACTGACGACGACTGTGAAGATGATAAGGACACCTGTCGTGTAAAGATGATTCAAACGGTCTACAAGATCGTCATCATTACGGACTTTGACGTTAGCTACCCGTCCTACAGACCCAATAATACTGTCCATCCTGAAATATAAACACAAGCATATTTAAAACCAGTGTAGTAATTTAATGCTAGCTACACGTCTTACAAACCAAATATTACTGTCCATCCTGAAATATAAATACAAACACAAATGAACACAACGTAGTAATTTAACGCTAGCTACCCATCTTACAAACCAAATATTACTGTTCATTCTGAAATATAAAACAAGCACACTCAAAATCCACGTAATAATTTAACGTTAGCATCCTGTCCTGCAAACTAAATATTAATGTTTATCCTGAAATATAAATACAAGCACACTTGAGATTGTACACGTAGAAATTTAAAGTTAGCTTAGAGTCCTACAAACACAATATTACTGTCCATTCTGAAATATAAATACAAGCACACTAAAAATCAACGAAGTAGGTTACAGTCCTACAAAAACAAATACTACTGTTCATTCTGAAATATAAATACATGCAAGATTAATATTAACTTTATTTAATTTGTACGTTAGCTACCCGGGTCATTATAATTATAAACAGATATTACTCTTTGTGGATAATGCTGACTTTTACAAAATACATTTGTTTAATATACAAGTAAATAGTATTCATATTTTTAAAGTATTGTCTGAAATGTTCTTTCAGTTAAAAAAACCCTCTTTAGTATGAAAATCACTTTGATCTTTATTTTAGATTGTTCAAATTTACCACAAAACAAGATAACTGTATAATTGAAGTGCACAAATGTTAGTTGCGTGTATCTTAATATTGTGGTTCCTGTGTTTTGTCCAAATAAATATTGATTGTGCAGTTATCCCAGCTATAAAATAAGCCCCAGATAAATCAAAGTTGTGTATGTAGAAGTTGGTATTGGCATTAAGTGTTTCTATTTGGTCCCTGTAGAATTTCATGTTCATTCTGCTATATATATATACGAAAGCGGCGGACTGTTTTATCAAATTTCGTTATCTACATGTATAAACCAGTCTTGCTTTAATTTGAGTTCATTAACGTCTATGTTAAAATCTTCATTTGCCATAGAATAAGATAATTTATTAGTTTCGCGTCATTCAAATATTAATATATTTAAAATGATTACTGTCCATTATTCATTATTCTTATAATAGATTTATAAATGATATTAAAGCAATGACTTAGAGTTGAAAACTACAATTGTAATGCCATATTAGACATTTCAAATCCGAATTTTCACGTTTTTAGAAAAGACTTCATTTATTCAAAAATATTTCATGCTATTGAATTAAAAATATTTGTCAATATCTGTAATAAAGACACAAATACACGAAAGACACAGACCGGTATTTCCATGAAATCGATAAACCGCCCTCAATGAATGATGTCTCTCGGGCTCAAACCATCTGGCCTATTATTCATATTATCACAAGGACATACTTTGACGGGGTATTAACCTCTAAATATATTAATATACAAATTCATTCTTACATACGTTGTCGTCTATGGTGGGTGTTTATAAAATTCAAATACATTCTAGAAGGTTATTACCCTTATAGAGAAATAGTTCTAACAAAACACCTTTGTTAATCAAATTTATCTCGCATTTTGACAAAATGATTTGTTGTGCAATCTTGTTTAAAGAAAGAAAAAATACTGGTAGCGTATATGCAGAAGTAATTGTTAAGTTTTTTAAGGTAATTTTTTCGATTACAATTTGTATTAACAACATATACAGGAAAAACAGATATTTCTGTATATATATACTATAGACATTATTTTGTTAAATTGAATGTTGCAAAATATATTGTAAGTTGTTTTCTGTTTATATATACATCGAACTAACTTATTCTCATAATAAGTTATTCTCAATTAAAGGTATGAATTATTCACAATACATGTAAATACCACGAGAATACGAGCATGTTACAATATGGTATTCAAGTGGAGTATATTCTAAACAATTAAAGCTTTCTTGAAAAACAATGATTTATATCTTATACAATATGTTCCCATTGTTTTCATTTTAAATCAATAGCGTGTTATGGGGGAGTAAAAATAAGCGGATAGTAGGAAGTAAGTTGCAATATAAAGCCAACACCTTGTGTCACGTGACTTACTTTAACATGCAATATTGCAATATTGTTAGACTGTCACATATATGTAATTGTAATAATGGCTCATAATATTCACCTAATATTGATGATATATTTGTTTATATTCTTTCCAGACCTCTGAGTTCTGAGATCTTTATACTTTTTCCGAAGAATTTCCGTGTGACGACAGGAGAGCTCGAAAATTGATCACTGACTGGTTATATCAAAATAATGTGTCACTTTAAACCGAAGTCATTATTAAAAACGTGAATATAGAATATATATATTCCCTAGAAGATTAAACTATTAAACTATATATTATGTCGTACAGTAAACAAAGTCGTATATCAAAGGTGGTTCATGCAGTTAGGGGTTTTTAAGATGGAAGTATCTCGTGTCAGGTAATACATAAATTGCATATCAGATTTCACCATTCTCCATTAAATGCTATATTATATGACATCCTAGAGAAAATGAAAATAATATATAATCAATAGTAACATGCTGGCAAATAGATGTAATATCCTACAATGAGACAGCGATTTCATATGAAATATGGCCGCATTACATGTGCTTTTACAATAACGATTAGGCTAAAGAAAGTTAAACTTGTGTTAATAAGTTAACATACGTGTTTATAAAACTTTATATGTCTTCAGATTAAATCATGAACTGATATATACATCATGTTCTGATATGTCTTATTTACACTATTTACTTTTATTTATGTGTTTTATTGAGTTATTGCTTATTTATGTTTTTATATGTCTCAACCTCAAGTTTGGTGTTTATATGTCTTTTAGCTTTAAGTATTTTTTTTATGTCTTATTTTAAATAGTGTATTTATATGTCTTCAAGATAAGTTTTGGCTTAAATGCCTTAAGGCAAATCAAATAGTGGATGGAAATAGTCGTCCTGAACTTGACATAATAGTAGAATATTGGGTAAAAAGTCTACGTCTTGACCCGGGAATCATCGACTCGAACCTTTCTGGAATCACGACCCTGTTCCCTCACATGACACTAGTACTAGTAAGCTCCAGAAGGCGGTCTTGTGAGTGGTTCAAATAAACTGTTAATAACACCTTTAAAGTGGATTGGTCCACAACTGGCTCAACTTTTAATAAATATTTCAAAAACTGATTAAAACAAATCATTTGAATATTTTACAAAATATTTCTTGAACAAAAAAATGTTGATTTAGTTCGAAATGATGTTTGCACATTTATATGAAGAAACATGTTCTAGAACCCTTTATTTTCTGCTAATTATTAATATGCAATATTGGATCATGTATCTAACACTGTCCAAAAGCATCCATATTTTATTCTTTCGTAGTTAGTTTTTGATTACGCATGGTACTAAATACTATCATCTTAATTATTAAAGGCATTGCATACTTTCCATTACGGACCAATTCACTTTAACTAAAGATTTTAAATAAGATTTTAATGATGGAGATATTACATAGTACGAGATTTTACATTGATTAGTACACCTAGGTGTGATTTCCAGTATCATGTCTAGGTAAAGAAAATAATACTTTAAATAATTGTGTAATCTTTTCAATCAGAAATGGTAATAGAGAAAATGTAATGAAAATGCTCATAAGACGGAGTTTGTCATTGATCGGCTAGCGTTTAAGCACTTTGATGTTTAAAGATCAAAAGACAGTATCAATATAAAGCCCGCTTTAATAACTTCCAAGACAATTTCATATAACGTGTTTGTTGTCTTACAAATAGAGAAGCTTTGATACAGATCGACGTAAATTTCCAGCATTCTACCATGTTTTCCAACCGTGAAAATCCGGAAACAGATAATGTCTTAATTTTCAGTTAACTAACCTAGTTTAGTAATTTCCAGGAACATTTCAGATAATTTGATGAATGTGTCAATCTCCTACAGCTGCTTCATTTTTTAAAGATATTGTTTTCTTTTATATCTTGAACTTATTTATTGTTACTACACTACATTTACGTTCTAATTTTAAACCGTTCATTTGGCATCATTTATTGGTCTGATCTTCGAAAGAGTAAAATTTTGAAACCAAAAGATATAAAAGAATTATTTCGCGAAAAAGAAAGAGACAACATTTTCTTCGAGTTAGTCAATAAATACCAATTCAATTGAACAGTATACAAATTAGTAATCAAAACATGTGGTGTGTTTTTCATTTAAAGCAGCAGCAGAAACAACAACAACAACAATAACAACGATAGCAGCAAAGTCACCCTCAACAATAATATGCATTGCTGATAGAAGTAATATTCATTATATTGTTTAGAACAAATATATCAAATACAAACATTTTACCTCGGAAAATGGAACAGTAAAAATGTTACTTAGTTACTGATTAATATTCAGACAAAACATATTTTATAGATAGTGGTATAAATCATAATTATTAATTAATTATGTATCATTCGTATATATATTATATATGTGACGAAATGAAGAAAATATCATTTCTAAGAAACCACAATTTAATAATTGAATGACAGTTTTTCCTCTTTCTATCAGTATTATATTTTTGTACCATTAATATATTTCTTAACAATGTTTCCAAGAAAATGAAATTTTACGACTTAAAAATCTATTTAATTTCCTTTTAAAGTATAAAACCAGACGTAATAAAAATTGGTTTGATAAGTTTATAATAATCTGAATATCACCCTGGAAACCGCAGATATACATTACAAATATATGAGCCGCGTCATGACAAAACCAACATAGTGCGTTTGCGACCAGCATGGATCCAGACCAGCCTGCGCATCCGCGCAGTCTGATCAGGATCCATACTGTTCGCTATCACTTTCTCTAGTTGTTATAGGGTTTGTAAGCGAACAGCATGGATCCTGATCAGACTGCGCGGATGCGCAGGCTGGTCTGGATCCATGCTGGTCGCAAACGCACTATGTTGGTTTTGTCATGGCGCGGCTCATATAAACTTAACCACGAT